AGCTATTTCCATAATTCCGAAAATAATGTAAATAACGTTAAGAAATAGGAATCTAGGATTGAATTGATAACAAAATATATTAATTTATTAGTATATATTTATTATATTTGTATTTTTATTTTTAACGTAAATTTAATGTAAATATATATAAATAAGTGCTAGAATGTAAAACTCTTTGGGGGGCCAGATTATTTAGTGGCTACCATTGATTTAAGCTAAACAAATGAATTAAATTTATCGAAATATTAAAAATTTTTATCATAAATATACTACGCTTACAACTGTTTTTTTGTTTTTTATTGTTATTTATATTATATATTGTACCAAGTCGTTAAATGAAGCAAAATTTGCAAACTCAGAATTAAAATCAATAAACAATAATAATAATGTTTTCACGAAAGTTTTATGTGATTTAATACCAGATACCTCATATGAAATCGGTGTTTTGGTTATAACCAACGGCTGGAACTTTAACGGTCAAGATATAGTATACGGTCAATATAGGACATCATATATATGTAAGTTATTATTGAATACATTTTCAATTAAATTAAATATTGTGTAACATGCGAATCTAACTACTCGGAAAATTGATTTGAGAAAGTAAATTTCATAGGAGAGAATTCACTTATATGTCATCGAGTAACGATAAATAGAATATTTCAGTATGCAGTAATTTAATTTTTGAATTTATTTGATACACATAAAATTATTGTGTATAATTTTATTGTACTATTTTATGAACATTTCATTATGATAGCAAGTAAATTTTAAATTGAAATCCAACGAAATATTTATTTTTTAAAATTTAAATATTATTCAAATACTTTTTTGTTTATTTCTGTATCAACTTTAAATCGTATTTTCTCTGTAGAACCACAAATAAATGATTATAACATTAAGTTTATGCCAGGAACAAAAAGTGTTAACATAACGTGGAATAAATTAAGTGTCATAATTGTATATTATATTATAATTTATTGTTTGATAATTCACCATTTTCCATACTTGAGACATATGTATTAATAATAAATACGTCTTCAAATATAAAACGGTTGAAAATAAATGGCCAGGACTCTGTAAAGTACAATTGTTTATTAATAATTACAAAACGCTTATTCAATCTATATTTATAAATATTTTGAATTTATAGATAATTAATATATTATTTGAATGCGAAGTTGACGAACATGTTTTAACATTAACGTTAAATCAGTTGCAATATGTAACTTCTGGTATTTAAGAAATAATATCGAGTTCAGACAGTGACTGTGTAATCGATGATCTATGTCCTGGATATCAGTACAATGTAATAATAACTCCTAAATCTTTTAGAGGATCCTTACAATTATCGTTTTCTTATTCTTTTAGACCCTTTGTGTCGGGTAAATATATATTTTAACTATACAAATTGATATTAACTATATTTAAATGTAATCTTGAGTATATACTGTATAGACGAAGATGTAAAAATAAAAGATATTAAAACATCCTCTGACTATAATAAAATTAAAGTACCGTGGGATTAAGGATCTTCGATTCAATCATACGATTATAATTTAGTTAAAAATCCAGTAACGTCGCTTATTATCTGATACAAAGTTATCTATTATTAAATTAATTAGCATCAGTAACCTATCTAATTGACTCGTTCATTGTCATTATACTTATGCTGGTTTATATAATATACGTTCACCAATCATTTAAAAAAAAAAAAAAAAACCATTTAAGCTCAAATCATTTAATTGTTTATTAAATTCTAAAAAAATCGGCTCATTGAAAGTGTAAACATTGGTTTTATAAATAAATCATACTATAAGCATAATATAATTTCACCACACAATTATTTTTCTCGATGATAATTCAATTTGTGCTTATTTATTTCGGAATATGTTTATAATTTCAATGCTCGAATTGGATGGGAGCGCAGGGTGAAGGACTTCGTCTAATTGTTTTTACTTTTTTTTAGCATCCCTTTACTAATTATTTATATTAAGAAGAAAGAAGATCTTATATTTTGTATATATGAAAATATATATTATAAAAATTATGTATTACCCTTAGATATATTAATTGAAATTGCAAATCAATAATACAGGATGATCAATCCATCGTAAGATAGGTAATCATTATTTCAGAAAGTGTTAACTTGTTTTGGAATTTGTTTTATAAAACAAGCAACTTTACATTTATGTTATTTTTTGTTACCCTTATTTTTGGGAGTAAAACTACTAACTACTTTTGATTTTTAAATGGCAACCTTTATTTATTAAATTCTATGAATAGATTAAGTATTGGTTAAAATAAATTGACATTTTTGATAACCATTAAACCGTTGACGAGATATTTCACTTTTAAATTTTTATTGGAGTAAAGTATGAAATCAATAATGTCAACACCAAAATATATTTTAACTAATACTCCATCTATTTATGGAATTTTTAATTTAGGTTGCCGTTTGAAAAAGTAGGTAGTGGTTTTACTTTTAAAAAAAAGGGTAAAAAAAAAACATAAATGTAAAATTGTTGAGCTGCTTGTTTCTTAATTGTAATAATAATAATAATTTCTTACAATAGGTTGATCACCTTATATAATATCGTTTAGTATTAAATTTTTTTATCATTATTATATTTTCTATATTATACTTTTGCTCTGTGTAATAATAAAGTAAGTAATTTAACCAAAATCTATAAACCGTCTTATTTTTTTTTTTTTTTTTAATAAACAATTATATATACAAATTAAATAAACAAATATATGTAAGCCAAAGCGAAGATTGTAAGTGTATCATTTTTTGTGTTTATTTTTTAAACTACTAATTAACTCCAATTATGTTTGAAGATTGGTTTAAGGGGAGGGGGGTTAGGTTTTTAGTCCAGTATCGTCGTTATCGCAATTTGTATGTATATACTCATCATCATTACCAATATCATCAAATATCTTTATGCTTTCATAACTCTACGAGAATTTTAGCCACCACTGTTAGAACTCTTCAATGTCTACTGTTATTTGATAATTTCCTTCCAGTCTGTAGCTTCCAATTTTTCTAGGTCTTCCTGTATATCATCTATTGACTGCATTGTTTCTTTAGTTTCTCTCTTAGTCTCTTCACTTCTGTTTGCCATTCAATAGATACTCTAGTTTTGTTTCATATCTTTCTTTGCTTTACGTGTTCGAACCACTATAAATTTTGACTTTTCACATAACTAGTAATTACGTGTATTTTTGTAATTCCCTTTATCTTCGCGCTTTTTTTCGCCAGCAGTTCAATACGGTACCATAACATGAGTCCACATATTCATCTTAGCACTTTGTTTGCGAAGGCCCTTAGTTTTTATTTTACTCGTGCTGTCAGGGGTTATAATTTGCATTCACAAATAATTTTCGGTGTTACTATTGCCAAGTACAGACGTACTTTCATACTTCTAGAGCAGGACTTCGACTTAAAGTATATAGTTTTAATATTTTACTTTAATTATTTAGTCTTTTCACCTTTATTGATACGATCGCCAATATCAGTGCTCTAATCATTATTTCCAGCAATTATTACACCTAGATACTTAAAACACTTAGTTTTCTCAAATACATAATTTCGAATTGCTAGGTTTTCGTTTTCACTGGACATTACTATAGCTTTTGTCTTTTATTCACTAGACTGATTGTTTTTTTTTGAATACAAGCACTGGCTAATTTCAAATCATTTACAAATAATTAAAATTAGATACATTATTATGAATATGATATCAAAATTAACCAGGGTAAGTGGTAACTAATTTATAAACCAAACTATATATAATGACGATTTTATGCAACCAAAATGGTTTTTTGAAATTATATAGTGGTTCAAGACTATAATATAATTTGATTATAATGTATAATTTATATAATTTGTAATGGTTAACATTATAAATGAAATTTTGCATGCAAATTGCAAATCAACACGTCTAGCTAATATTTTATTATCTCTCTTTAATTATTTCTCTTAACTGTCTAAACAGTCTATAACCTACCAGTAGGTATAATATTATGTATACAAATGTGAATAAAGTACAATTTACAGATCAATAGAATATTCAATTGTTCTGTGAAAGAAACAGATAATAATACTAGGGCATCAATACAAATGTACAACCGAACGAACTGCAAAATATTTGATATAATAACTAATTTACAATACTGTATTCAAATCTCTTTATTTAATAATATAGACAAAAATATTATTGAACGAGAAAATATGGTATATTTATATAAACTGCCGTCAAGTAAAATATTCTTACTGATTCTCACGATCGTATATTGTATTTGATGTGTTATGTATTTACATAATGTATAATATTATGTATATATTTGTTTTTCTTAGATCCACAAGCTAAGTCAAAAATCGATGACAATCATCCAATTTCTGTGACGAATAACTCAATAAATATTCAATGGAATGCCGATTCTATAAACTATATAAAGTTAAACTGATTTTTATTGAAATTTTCTACCGAATTAAAAGTGTTAAATGCTTAAAATTGTTGTGTATTACTGTACTAGCATAATATAAGATCGAGCTGCAAAGATTCCGGTAAAAAATTGATACTAGATTTAACCAATGTTAGATATTTTCTTAAACATTTATTTTAATTTACGGAGTTTTTCAAATTATCGAGGTTCGAACTATTATTAGGTTAGTAAATATTATAAGTCTACTGTGCCTATAATGCGTTTACATAAAATTAATTACAATTTGAAAATATATCACTTATATTAATGTTTATGTTATTTTGTATTCCTCTTGTACAGTACCCGATTCTCCGCTTAATTTCAAATCTCAATATGTTGGCAACACAACAATCACTCTACAATGGGATGTTCCATGGATATTTAACAGCGAATTTAAAATGTTTATTATCAACGTGGAAAAAATGTTACCGTTAGAAAATGTTAACACGGTTAATAATATTAGTCCCAGTGTAATCCCAATAGACGAAGAATTGCCTCTTTATAACTATACGGTAAATTTGAATGTATATTCAAATGTTTAAAAAAAGTTGAACTTTACAAACATAGGTTATTTCGAAATTTGAATACGCATTTATTATATAATGTCGGTTGACATAGACATCAAATATTGTGTAAAGGCTTCTTAAATCGTTCACATTTATCAATTATTATTATTTTTATTTTAACATTGAATTCGTATGTTTTTAACATAAGTGATAAATCTTAAAACAGGATTCACCTATTTATTTGGGGTGTTGTCTGTATCGAAATCCTTATGGTATAGCTATCCATCCAGAATTACCGTTACAACACTTTCGATAAATAATTAATTAATAACTATTATTATACTCTTATTCATATACTCTTAATACTATAGGATTACAATATTATAGTAGATTTATAAAATATTACCCTCCCACGTCGATTTCCCCTAGAGTTCATAGCTATAGGTACTGAATTTTATTAAAATATTTTCATAATAATTTATTTGGTTTGCATTTAGTTGCTATTTGAATTTTTTTTTAACATATATAATATATATATATATTAAACATAATAAACTATATTGTAGTAATTACTTAGTTTATTATAATATAAACTGCAATATTTTTTATATTATATTCTATTGTATATGCCATATGGTGTTTTACACGTTTATTATATTATATAAAATTATAAATAAATATCTTATGAAATAATTTGTTGTTATTATCTACAGTGTACTATTTACACCATTCATCATAAAAAACTTTAAGTTAACTTTTCAAATATGAAATTAAAATTTACATTTCGTTATATAGGAATACATAGTTTAGATTGTGAGCGTAGCGAGGGATCTATTAGTTTTATGCAGAGCCGTATTTAGGTAGGGGTAATTACTCTGAGTGGCTTTAATTTTTATATTTCTATTGCACTTATGTTTATTTTACTCATATTCAAAGCAATGATTTGAAATATTCAAGGCTGGGTATTAACCAGTCAATACAAGGTAAAATTAAGTTAATTTAACATTTTAACTTAATAAATCAATATTTTTTGAACTATCAACTTAATTGTTGACTTGGAGAATACAAAATAATTAACTTTTAATTAATTAGAATTAATATAGAGAGGAATTTAATCTATACGATTAATCTCTGCTAACAAAAAACAATTCTGAGTGGAGTTCGGTTACATATATTTAAAAGGCCGTAATATTTACGATTTTCGTCAAAATTTAATTTTAAAACTCTTATTAAAAAAAAACAATAATAATAATAATAATAAATATAAAATTACATTCAATTTTTTCTTTTACCACAAAGTACTACATATAATGAACTTCCTGTTTTATATTCAAGTATTTCTGTTTGATCTAACAATTGTATCTACAGAGTAACCGAATAAAAATTAGATACGTAAAAAACTCGCAAAATTAAAATGTCTATAAACACCTCAAAAATAATTAAATGTTTTGAAAATTTTACCATATATAGAAAAGGTAACAAAAAATCATAAACAAAGAATTAATACTGCTAAAACTGATAGATATATTGAAAAGGTAAGATCACTAAGATATATAAAGTTAATAAAATAATAAAAAAATAATAACATTTTTAAAATAGTTAATACTCGTAAATAAATATAGTAAATAAAGTTATTTAATTTATTTCTGTACACAACGATAAATAATTTCACCGAATAAGATTCTGAGTAAAAATTGGTTAAAAAATATTTTGAAATACAATTTACAATTTGTCATCAAAATTTGAAATTGAAACCTTTTTAAATAAAACTACTTCATTAGGCTTAACTTTTTTTTAGATACCTTATAGCTGATAAAATGAAAAGCCCGACAATTTTGAAAATTGATCACGACTATAAAAGATTATTATAAGTATTCTGAGAATATTACAAGGCTTTACTTAAATTATTTAATCGTTATTAATTGAATTACAAAAAAAAAATTAAAAACCGAATAAACATAATGAAACTTGCACTGCTGTGCATTTTTCCGGTTTTTCTCAAATACTATAAAAACTACTCAAAAAATCAAAAAATTACCTTAAAAATGCATCAAAAAGCTCTTTTGTTGTTTTTTTGGTTGGAGCGAGATTGTCGGTAGAATAGTTGTTAACAGACAGAAAGAGAAAAAAATAAAAGCATACGCCATCATTGAACCAATACAAGCCTTGTTGCGCTGAGAATATAATATACGCGTAGAATGTAATTTTATATTTTAATATAAAAGTAAACCAATTTATATTCGAGTGATAACCTCCCCGACATTCCCCTGGGGTCTTAAAAGTTTTTCTAGCTACTAAATAATAATATACGCAGGTACAGAGGTGACATATACGCGCCGGTGGCGACCATCATATTATTTTTAATCAACCTGGTACATATACTCCTGTTTAATAAAAGTGGACATCATTTCATGGCGAAAAGTTATTAACAATATTGCCATGTCCTTTATATTTATGGGTATACGTATCACGCTTATTGGTTATTATGCGCTTGTAATATTCGATACATCGATACACTATTTCATTATATAGGAAAAATACGGTTATAGATGAGATATGGGAATTGCGGGCAACGAACTATACGCTCGAATTAGATTAACCGTCGTCGGTATAATAATAACGAAATAAATTCAGACTGGACTTTGGTTGAACATAAATCATTGTATCCGGCGTGTGGATATGGTATAAAAGGGCCCGGGACGTCACTACGAGCTCAATTAGTACTTGTGCCGTCGACAAGAGTAGACTGACAATAATATTCCACAAGTACTAAGGTAAACGCTGCACTCGTCAGACCGTGTCTCAGATCTCCGCAAAATACGGTGAGTATGAAATGTTTTAAGTAACTAATGTCCGATACTTTTTAATTTAAGGTCACGTATTTATTTATAGTTATTTATTCACAGAATAAACATTTTGATTTCAATAATGGTAATAATTTGTTAGGTGGATACAAGAAAATAATATGAATGTTCTATAACAACACTGATACGCATAGTCAAGAGTTTCGATAGGTTTATTGTGAAATGACGACGGGGGTTATCGTGAATGTTCTGTCATCGCCATATTTAATACTAAACTCTTTTGAGTTCAGCACCGTTAATTTTGGATTCTGCAGCGTGTACTGACGAAACTATTTGTTTTAGTAAGCGATGTGTTACTATTTCGATTAATTAATTATGCTCTGAAATGTTCACGCTGTATCGTAATATCGATGTGAACGTTGATGTTATTTTATTTGAAACATTTTTTCGACATTCCCAACACATTTTCCAACAACGACTTTTTATATATTTCCTAAACACAGTTTTCTGGTGAATAAAATACTCCGATACAACAATGTGTAGTATGCAATTTAAGATTTTAATATTTTATATAATATATAATATTATTTTACTCAAAACATTTAACAATTCATTAATTTAATAATTTGTATGTTAGTAACAATCCTCCACAGTCTTCAAATTGTACCTTAAACGGTTCGGATTTCACGCCCAGCCGTACATTTTATTTGAACATTTTTATTTTTCACAATTTTTTCTTTTCCTTTAAGCAGTAAATATGGTAGGTATACAAGTTTTAAATTTTGGACATATCTTACCCGAATAAATACATTTTTATAAGAAATAACGCCCCTTTTGATTTACTTTTCATAATCAAAATAGTTTGTTCCTTTCCTTACATAATTTGTCAAATTATACGTATGGCATTTCTTATATTTTAGCCGAACACGACAATTTTACTACAATCACTTCAACTCAAACGGACATAACCGCCTTCGACATGAACTTCAAGAGCACCATCGTCGTATTTCTGTTGGTCGTCGTGTTGATGTTTGCCACGGACTCCGCTGACGGGTACAGAAAACCACCGTTCAACGGTAGCATTTTCGGGAAACGTTCCAGCTCCGCTCCGGGTATGGTTCATATATTAATATGTTATAAACTAATACAGGAAAATTTCGAATTTACAATGTAAATTTTAATAATAATAAAAATAGTTTTCACGGTGTATAAATATATGCTTACTTCTTTTTCTCGATACTTGTGGATATTTCTAACAGCTCCTACTGGATAAAACGAACTCAAATTCGGGAATCGGAGTTGTTTTAAAAAAAATGAAGTAGGAAGGTTTAAATTTTGTGTATGTATAGTATAAGAGCCAAGCATGTATCATTTGGGAGTTTTAGCTTTCAACCAGTTTTATGCTCAAATTTTATGTTTTTACGAAAAGCACCTGATTTTATATACCCTCATACAGATTAAATCTTGGAAACAATAACTATTTCACATCAATTTTAAACATTTTACGAAAAAAAAGCCCATTGCTAATTAACGCGTACATTTAATAATAATAAAAAAACCATAAATATTCATTATACTTATTATTTTAAGTTTATAAAAACACAGGTAATATAAAAACAATTTTTTAAAGGCATGATTTTCATAAGGCATCAGTGGTCACAAAAAAAAAAAAAAAAACAAATAATCTAGGTAATTTAAAAAACAGTCCTAGGATAATGGCAACGGATGCAGCCACTGTTATAGGTAATTCATTGTATACCTATTTGCAATGATAAATCATTTCTAATGAAAAAGCGAAACTCTTACATTTTCTCGGTTTTCCTCTGTTTTTTATATTTGGTGGGAAAACTCCTTAAAAAATCGAAAAATAATCTCTCTAAAATACATTTCCTGTTAGATATCCTTTCAGAAAAATATAGCTATTATTTTAAATCGGAGCAAAATTGTTTGTAAAAAAATCGTACACAGGAAAAAATAATCTAGAAGAAATAATCTAAAATAAAATATTCTAAAGGTGATAAATCGGCTGGTGGAAAATTCTACTAATGACTTTAATTAGAGATTCTACTCTAATAACGGAACATTGTTGTTCACAAATGTTTAATTATTTTGTTTTCAATAAAATGTAAAACATGTAGAATAAATACTTGAATAAGAATTTTAAATTTAAAAAAAAAATGTTTACAGAATATGAAAATCCCGGAAAAACCATTTACAACATGTGCGAGCTTGCATCGGACGCGTGCCAGACTTGGTTCCCGAGCCCAGAGAAGAAATGAAATGTCTTCAGTCATCGTCACCGTCGTCTGTACCACTGTAGAAATCTATAAGTTCCCTCGGAACAATTAAACATTATGTAATTCCGAAACTAAAAAAAAAATATATAAATTAATGTCTAGTCAAAATGTAGTCAAATGAACGTGAAGTTTTTTTTGAAAATAAAATGTTTTCTAATAAAATGCTTTTCAATTGGAAAAAAAAAATTGTTTCAGACTATATTTTATAGTAGACACACCTATATTATATATATATTTTATTTCCAATCGAACAAATTGAAAATTATACTAAATTTATAAAATCCAAAAATGATAAAAATATTATTTTAAACCAAAAATGTGAATATATTTTTATTAGAATAGGTAAGTTAGATAAATATAGTTTCACACAATCGGAGAGGCGTTAGGATTGAATTATAATTAAAATAAATATATTAAATAATAGATATTTTATTTAATGATTTAATCCTATAATTAAGCAGTATCGTCAATGTAAAACCCTCGTTTTTTTTTTTTTGGTCATTCAAGACAAAACTTTAAAATATCTTTGGAAAACTGAAATCGATTTCAAAAACAATCAATTAGGTGTGTTTTACATACCATTTCATTCGTGGCACCGAGTCTTACTTGTCAACAGATTTTATTTAATACTATTAAAAGCTGTTCTAGGATAATGAGGACGGGTGCAGCCACTGTTGTAGGTGGGGAGTTAGGAAGGTAGGATACAGACGAGAATTTAATGTTTGTCTATTAGCAACGATAAACCATTGCTAACGGTAAAAACGATTCTGAGTGGAGTTTACTTGACGGTGATACTTTGTCAATAATGTACATGACATATTAAGGTAAAATAATTAAATAAGCATTACATATTTTCTTTAATAATATTTGTTTAATATTGTACCGTTTTTTCATTTTTCCTCCGTTTTTTCTTTTCGGTATTTTACATTTGTTGAAAAAACTCCAGAGAAAATCGAAAAATGACCTCCCTAAAGTTTTACTAAAAGAAAATTTCCTTTCGGAAAAGTGTTTACATCGTATACAGTGGAGTAAGCTTTCTAATAGAAAAAGTGTTCACATAATAAAAAAAATAAAAATATAAAATATAATAAACATCTTTGTAAAGCCATTTTTCGCTTCACTGAAAATCTAAAATTTCGTGCTAACTACTCTTTATGGATTGAATAACAAAAAAAAATTCTGAGTGCAATAAACAAAAATATAACAAATTCATTATAAATATATTATTATTAAACAACAATAATAGTATTAAAAATCGGTGAGTGCTTCAATGCCAAACGGACGATTATTTGTCTGTCTGTCAGTTGTACCCAAATGGAGAAAAACCAAAAAAAATATAATTTATGGGCTTCTAATTGGAAACATTTTTTTTCCTATATTTTTACTACGTATTTTAACAGTATACGTGTTCAGTTTCATACTACAATTTATAAACTTGGCAACGTTACATACAAATTTATCGGCAATCGTGGCGCTTCTGAGGTCCAGTTTTATACATTATACCTACTCTGAACGTCCGCAATCATTTTATTAAAAAGATATCACTGATAAGGATCGTCCGCAATAGTTGTCTATATCACTTGGTATTTCCAAAATTATATTATTATATCGGTCTCAGGAGGTGGGGAGGCGTGGGCGAGTGGTGTCTGGGCAACGAGTGGCGACGGCCGCAATGACGCGGTGAGCTCGCGGACGAGGTCGGAGCGGGGAATAAAACGAAATGGAAAAAACCTTCGCAGCGACTAAGTGGTTCGGTTTCAGTACACGTTGTTCCGGTGTTGGGTGCGGTCGTGTGTATCTACGTCTGTTGCCAGTTGTCGTCTCCATCGTCTCTGTTCCCGCGTCCTCCGAGACCTACGCCGCTCCACCCCCTCCTTCTTTCCGGCAGCCACAAATACTATGCGTTCACTGCACGCGGCCCAAACGTACCCGCAACAACACCGTCAGAACGCTGTCCAGATTTGAGTTTAGATTCGGAATTTTTAGTATCCGAATTCTAAAAAAATTAATCACAACCCGGAGTTTTATCTATTTTTTTTGTACACAATCTCTATTTTTTCTTCACTTCGACTTTTTCTCTTAGCCCGTGCCCAAAATGCGTCCCGTCGTCTCGTCTTGCAACGGTCATGCGTGGTCACCGCTCGTCAACGTCTTCGTTGTTTTCGTCGTCCTGTCAGCCGCGCTACCGAACACCGTTTTGTCCATCGAATCGCCTTCTGACCCAAAACGTAAGTACCTATACTTATAAATTATTTTATATTATTATTGACGTCTCCGTAAATAATACATACTACCGTTAAAGTCACCTCCAAGACGTCAAAGTGGCTATTATGTGGCTAGTAGAGGACTGGTGGCTCGCAGTGGTGGGATAAACGTTTTCATACCCTTTTACCCGCACCCCTGAAACAAACCGTGCTATGTAACCCGATAACCCAAATTATTAGGAACTTTAACTACTTATATTTTGAACGGCTCAACTCAACTTTTGATATTTGTAAATAATTTTGTTTAATGTAATATTTCCCCTCTTTCTTTTTTTTTTTGGTATAAATTGCGTAAGTGTAAGTATTTTCAAAATTTAATTTGCTTGTACTGAAAACTATACAAAATTGACGTAAGCGTTTTTTCTCTGTGACTAAAAATAATTACCTATATGAAAATTGTGTTTCCTTTAAATAACAACATGGGTATCATCAGAAGATTTTTTTTAAAAAAACGTCTTCACTTTTTATCGATATAATCGATAGAAAATGGATCTTGTTCGCAGCATATTAACTATAAAAATATTATTGACTGCAAATCAATATCATCGCACATTTGCGCATTTTAACGATGAATCAAATATGTCAACAAAAATAAGACCGTTTAAAAGAACGGTAAGTATAATATATTAGGTAATATATTATCTACTCACTCATCCAAAACAACGAACTAGTTTCAATGGGTAATGGTTTAATAATCCAATAGTTGTTATTATATATAATATATTAATTATACACCGTTTACATAATATTGACTTTTCGATTGAAAAAATCGAGATCAATCAAGTGTTGTTTGGTTATAAATGTTGACAGTATTTTCAATATAGCGAGTTAAAACTAAAAATAGTTTATAAAAAGGTGTAATAAAAAAAAATTATACTTTTGATGTATTTAGTAAAATAAGTACAATAGGACAATAAGTTTTTAACGTATGGGATATAAATAATTATCGGGAACACGACGGGAAAAAAATATTTAAACATATAAAGCTTCAAAATTCTCTGCAACCCTCAAAGATTTATTGTTGCCTTCGACAGCATCTGTGATGCACACCTTGTACATTATATAGTTCAACAACTCTTTTTGTTTTAAAAATATGTATGTCTGTGTTTTATTTTTATTGTAGGTAAGCAATTAAAATTATTTATGGTTTTTTTTTTCAATTAATTTATATTACAATGTGTATTAGTATATATAAAAATGTATGTATTTTATCATACACTTAGTATTTTATGCAAAAAAGTTAACACATATTATTTTTAAAAGTTATTTATACTTTTTTTTAATACTTACTTTAATATACTTTACTTAAGGGGTGATTACAGTGACATTTGCCATCTCTGTTTGTATAACGGGCAATATAGCGAAAATGTGTTTGCTTAAAATCCTTAAGAATAGAAGGCTCACAAATCAATTTTAGAGATAAAACGCATATTACTAAATTTGTAGAAAACAACAAAACTTTTATACATATAATAACTAATATTTCAGTTAAACTTGCTGATGCTAAGTTGTCTTTAAAATATCTAGAAACGTTTTATAATGGGTGTTTTAAATATTAACTAACTATTGAATTAGATAAAATTTAATTATTTATCACCTGAACAAAAAATAAATAACGTGAATAAAATCAATACGTCATTTTATAGAGCTCGTCAGGCTTATAAGCCTGAACTATGAACTCAGTAAAATTGTGTAAATACTTTATAGTATAATATCGTGATGCAATCCATTATGAATAATAGAAATTAATTATGCATGTATTGTATACGCTAAAAAAGTACTTTGTTGCCGAACAATACGGGTGTAATAATATAATAGAAATCTATCTTCTATTATATTTTTTAATTATTTCTAAACGTCTAAAATATTATTTTCACGGCCTACCTATACTTATTTAATATAGTACTCCTAAAATACTTATTCGACGAGTTATAATATAAAATTAAACAGGAATCCGGGACATTAGTTTATCAAATCAGCAAAAAATCGTTTTAAAATAGAACTTGATTTTAGCCCTGAAATAAGCAAACAAACAAAATACAAAATTATTAAAAAACATTTTTACAGAACAAATTACGAAATAAGCCACATATTAGTATAATTAATACATTCTACGCTACGCTCAGAATCTAAAAAAAAAAAATAACTATACTATTATAAATCCATTGATCTAACAACTAGATCTGGACTGCAATTTAATATGTCCGTTTTCGACGTCGATATCTATGAGCATTGAGCATACGTCATTCCGGCCACGTGTACATATATATATATAAATAAATTATATTTCTTACGATTTCCGATTGTAATATACTGAACATTATCCGACTACTATATAAGGTAATTCATTTATCATGAACTAGTAATTTTTTCGAATGATTTTAGGTGAATTTGGTTTCCATATTTATTTTTTTTAATTATTGAGGAATCGTTTAAACTTTATTTTATCAATATGTTTGATTTTTAACCCTTACTCCCCTTTACCTGAATTAGTTTTCATATGCATAACGCTAATGTCAGATTTACCATTTTTGAGTAATTATATTTTAGGACAGAGGAGTACTCCCCTTACGGAAGGGTAATAATAGTTGTGTATCCATTTTTTTGAAACGATAAATTGATGACTGTTTCCAACTCCTCCGGTATGATCTTTAAACTGTTTCAACTCAACAACAACTCTATGATAAAAGAATCATCCTGTATAGGTACTTTAATAATATATGCGTCTCGTCTGTCGATTTTTGTAGATCGAACAATCGGACTTTTTAACCATGCGATATTTTATCGAAACGATACACACAATGATGTTTTTACAAAATATAATATAACGAAATCCTCGTCACCATATTGGACATGAAACACAATTCATACTATTACAATATTACTACAATTATACATACTCGTAAGTAAACCTGCTTTATATAACCGCGAAGTCGTCGTCGTTTGAAGTCTGTCGCTATCAAACGTTATAGTATTCGCGGTGGCCGATGTATTTTTAAAACATTTTTATTCATCTCACAACCAATTTTGCAATTTAACAACTTGGTTTGCCTCCAAAAACTCCCCCACACATTTTTTTAAATAACGTCGTCCCGTTGTCGTCTCGTCCACGGTTGTCCCAAAGGTATTTTCTTTTTTTGGGTTCTGCACCATTTCCTGCCATTTATTAAAAACTGACTGCAACGCAATATTCAAGTTTTATTAAAAAAATAAAAGTCAATTATGTTAAAAACGTTATTATAAAGGCTGTGAATATGTGAAAGTACATTTTATTTAGCTAATTGTGAAATGAAACTTTCTAATTTGAATCATGTAACAACAAATTTATTTATGAAACTTTTATTTTGTACTTTTTTTGTATTTTTTGACGTTTTTAGTTTTTATGGTCATTTTTGGACTTTTAAGTCATATTTTCCCTTTTAGTCCATTTTACGGTATTTTTTGTCAAATTTTATCAATTAACATCTTTACACACATATTTTTTTGTTTTACACAAGCTGTATATATGCCTACGTCTAATTTGTATTTTATAAAATAGTATTTTATACAAGTTGCATATGGGTTGGGTAAAGATAAGGATTCAATAAAATAAGTTACATTAATATTCGATCAACATTTTTATAATTTTTTTTAAAGAAATTGTTTTTATTAAATAAATACAATTATATATGTATAAAATATTCTAATATCAGTTATATCAAAATAAATAGAAAAAATAAATGAAAATCATTTTAAGTGAATTTTATATTGCATTTTTGAAATTTTAAATGCATATTTTATTGCACTTTTAAGGTTTTTCACTGCATAAATTCACAGCCCTAATCATTATAGTTTTATTATAAATTTATAAGAACAAATACGCTTATTCAGCCGTATAGGAGTCCGGAAAAAGTTCTGATTTGTAAAACTTTCCAACAATGCGTGCTTGACTGCTAGATCGCGAACGCCAGTTCATCTTAGTAAAATAAAGTGAAGTCAATATACCCACTTTGCAATTATTTTTCTCAGAAATTTTGCTAAGACTTTTTTTTGAAACATGTAACATCCCGAATCAATCACAAATTACATTTCACAAAAACGTTTAATATCCCTGTATTTCGATCGCAATAATGTGTTTCACAAAACATCACCTTTCAACATCCGTAAAACTTAATCAGATACGTTTTAGAGATGTTTATTCCTAACGTTTCAAGAACCGCATAATCGTGCTTATAAAACAACATCGAATACGAAAATACGAAAAATAAAAATGCAAATTCGAAATATTGTGTCGACGGGTATTGAACACAATACCCTGCCTATCCTAACCTAAATCACCTAAATTTCTATCCACTAGACTACCTACCTAACTATTCAGAAGAGTTGATTTTATGACCTAAGTTATTAAGTCAATTTCAAAATATTGTATTATATATATTCAGTGACATCTTGATATTATGGAACGGGGACTTTAACCTTCTCTAAAGAGCGGAGACCAGTGCCAATTTGTTTGTTTATTGGTTATTTCGGTCTATTTTATCGTTCATACAACATGTCAGCAGAGAGCAGAATGGGCACATAGGTGAATAAGATACCTAGTTAAATAACACAGAATCTGAAATGTTTAATATAGGCCGTTGGTTCATTATATTCTGATCGGGAAAAAATATAGCTATATACATCAATAGTTTTATTGGTTTTTTACATAATGTACGATCAGTGTGCGTTCGAAACGGAAATGAAACGTCCGAAACCGCGGAGTGTCAATCGAAAATATTTCGCTTATTATCGAAATCGAAACGCCGGACAACCGCGAAATCTGCATTAGTATTATTACCTACCACCTATCCATATTATTGTTTTTTGTATATCCACTACACTGACACATTGGCGTCATACACGATTGTGATTTTTTATTTTTTAACACTTCGATGAGTGTACATAGCTTTATTATTATTATTATTATTATTATTATTATTATATTATATTCGTATAATATGTATAACGGTTATAGCGGGTCGCATTTTTCACCGAAAATTCACACACACACGATCATTGTTTGTCCCCGGACAATTATTAACGTACCATGTGCGCTGCACAGACGGGATGCACAAAAAAAAAATATTTTCCGTTCGGAACGAATTTGTTCGTCAATCGCGCGATCGTTCGGATACGTCATGATCGTCTGCAGAATTCGTGTGTATTTTATAATGTATATTTATGCCCTATATTGTATTCGATTCTAAGCGGAGCGAGGAGTGTTTTGGTTTTACTATGATGGGTTTAAAAAAAAAAAATTGTTTGTTGGGTCTGTAAACACTACTTTCTACCTTGAAGAAACCATGGACTATCAATAATTGTATAGGAACTTCCTCGTAGCATTTTGGATTTAGTCGGTATATGGCGAGAAAGGAATTGTTTGATTTTCCGTGTACTTTTCTTTTAACTGTATTGTATTAATTAACACGCGTTGAAATAAAATTATTATTCTCCCTAAAACTGATTGGCCAAACGCAGTATAGTCTACAAGCACGTATAGCGCAAAAATAGAAATGTCGAAAGTTCGGTGGCCAGGTGTTACTGTCAATTGGCGCGATACGTGAAGTGAATGATTTACGTATTTTTATATTATATAACATGATAGTATTGACATATTGAATTGCATTATATTATAATGCGCATTTCAAATATCTATTTTAATCATCTGTATAATAGTGTATTATAATGTAGATGATAAATCTTTTTATCCATACTTTAAAACACATCCCCTATTGTTTAATAAATTCATTCGTGATACAGTCAAAATATGAACTATTCGTTATTTATTTATTATTTACGGACCAATTGGCTTTGATATCGTTGGATTTGAATCACTTCCGACCAAACGTACCTATTATACGTATTGTTGATAAATTATTATTTCCGAAACGATTGCAGCAAACTGAAAGATCGATGAAAGGTTTTTTTTTTAGCAAAAGCCATATGCTTTTTCGCTACGTTGAATATTGTACTCCTAACTCCAGAGTGTCCAAATGAAATATTTATTCAACGTAATTCATTTAAATATTACACACCGTTTGCCTATAATAGGTATACAATTTTTTGTTTAATACTTATACCTACTTGTAGTACTGCTAAACTCCGCGGCAAGCAAATATTGATGAAAACCCCTTTTTTTTATGCGTTTTGTATCCTTGTATGTATACAAATATCCATAGTAAAAACCCCTACCTTTCCAGTCGAACAAAAAAATGTCGTCACTGCAAGTACCTACTTACCTATTACTTTACTACTGGTGTTATTACTGCAGCTGTATTGACGGTATACAATAATATTATTATTATTATGCACGAATAAGTTATTTTCGATAACGACTATCGCCGAAGTCGTCATATGTGTTATACGACCACCGGTAGTGAACTGTGTGTTAGAAAAAAAAAAAATACACAGTATGTGCCGTCTGTTTATATACTTAGTTATATTGTGCCCGTATGTACCTATTCTATGTATAATAATATTATGTGGTCGTGGTGTTTCTGAACACTGCTCCGTACGGAAGGCGACGAAAAACTAACCAGGTGGACACAAAATATATACAGCAGTTACTCGATAATTCGAAATTCAGGGGATCGAGCTAAAAATTCGATTTATAGAGGTTTTCGATTTACCGAGTATTCAAATGATGGTGGGGAAAAATGAATTAATTCGAATTAAATAAAGTTGAAAAATTGTATATATTATTTATTATTTAATTTAAGATTTTATATTTTAGACAAACCACGATAATATTTTATCGCCTTCGTTATTAGTTTGATTACGAGTTCGTCAATTAGGTTATTTATACCGTACTGTATTGTGACATAATCGTTACAATACATTTATTTGAGCTTACACATAACAAGGAAATTCGAATTATCGAGAGGATCGAAATACATGTATTTTCTTTTAATTATAAAGGTTTACTCAGGGGACCAAGCGTTTAATTTGATTTATAGAGTTTTTCGAATTATCGAGTGACTACTAAAAATTAACATTCAAAAATATTTTTGCCTGCGTTATTTATAATAATTATTAAGATGATTACACGAGAATTTTCATCAATGTGGGTATTTACAATATTTTATCGTACCCTGTACTATATATTTGTTGAAAAAAGTAACTAGCTGTTCAGCTATCCGAACAGCGAAAACTCTTTAAAACAGAACTCCAATGTTTAGGAACCAAAGAAAATATTACAGTTTTCCATATTATATTGAATTAACGAAAAAAATTAACACACTCATATTAGACTAATCAAAATAAAAAAAACACGTTTAAGGTTAAACATAATTTTATTTACCACCTATAAATAAATAAAGTAAAAAATAACTCAATTAACATAATATTATTTTTATTTTTTTTTCAAAAATACTTGTATGTCATATAAGTAGTGATAATGCAAATGATTAAGACTAGAATTTGTGAGTTTTTATTTTATGTTTTTAATGATTCTTAATGTGGAATACTTATATAAATTCAGCCTCAACCACTAACAATTAAAAAAAAACCAGAAAAAACTTAATTATTTACACTATACAATGATATTCAAAATATTAAGAGTACCTATATATCGTAAAATATTTAATATAATGTATTTTTTAAATAAAAAAAAAAAAACGTGTCCTCTCGTTATTTATTAATTATTAATGTAGAACAAAAAAAACTTAATTTCCTTGCGAATCCCTGTAAATAGATACCTAATCGGATCAAGTTTGTAAAACCGCGACTAGCGTACCTACCTACCGAAAAATAAAATATAATATGTTATCGTAATATTATCATATTAATTAATTAATAATAATAATGTAAAACGTCTCTGAGAAACATTACCCGTGTTATCGTTTAGCTCTCTGATCGAACGTTTTACATTTATTGTTCAGACGTATTGGCGAAAAACGCGCGTGCGTAAAATTTACATTTTAAACAAGAAAACCATATTTTGCTCGCGGCTTTTTTTTTTCTTCGTTTATTACAGTATATTGAATTCAAGTCGTGCACACGAAAAAAATACAATAATGGTGTAGTATAATCGAACACCCGCGGCGATAATAATTATATTTTAATCTGGTTTGCATTCAGTGTATACTATAATAGCTGCTTGCAGACGCCGCGAGATAATCCATAGTAAACAATAATATTACAATATTATGATATTTTATCAACGTGACAACAATAATATCTTTTGTGCGTTTTGTTTACGATATAGACATATTATAATATTATGATTAGATTCGTGTTTGAGTAATATAATTTCGACTGAATTATAGTTAGGTACAATCCATAAACATCAATATTATGTCGTGTAGGAAAATATGTTGTGAAAACTAAAGGTAAGCCGATAATTACTTGTACTCATTACTAACTTACCATAACTAACTTAATAACTTACTACATCCATATAGGTATACATTATGTTGTTATTCTACCTACATTTTTCAAAGGGGGTATTCAAGTAACGTCGCATTTCGGTGTCATGTGCCATTTGTCGCCGTGTTCTGATTGACTGTTGTTATCTAGGTAAAATTCAGTAACCAAGACCTATCGCGACATTTCTAGAATTGGGTTGATTTCAACTTTAATCTAAGTTTAGATGACAATGTGCCAGTTCATTTTTTAGTGTTACTAGCACACATATCTATTCACACAAGACACACGACGTCGCTAAAATACCGCCTTTGTACACCAAACAAATTAGTTCTTCATCTAACACGAATGCTGTGACTAATATCATAATATATTGTTACACACTATATTGTTAAGCACTGTATACTTATCGCCAATTAATTGGGAGGAACATAATCCCGAATAATTGTTCACTATAGAAGCGCCGGAATATATATATGTATATAAATAAAATAAAAAATAAAATTTATCTAATCGTTTTTTACTCGAACCGTTTGATACAATCACAACAATGATTATAATTCAAAGATTATAAAAAAAGAAACCTATTTTATTTCGTCATCATATTGTATTATGCGTCACCGTATACTATTGAAATAAGTGTGGTCACTCCATTTTAATTGATTATTCTCAGCTACGGAATAAGTTTTTTACATTTTGTAAACACTTTTACTATGGTTTTAAACAATTTCAGATCATTTATATAATTATTTTTTTCCCGAACTTATTTTTTTCTGACAAAGATATTATTAGGAATAATTTACTATTAGTCACTGCTGATCGATGCCATTGTTTTAAATATTTAAAATTCAAATTTAACAAACACAAAAAAAAAAAAAACACTTCTTTTTTTTTATCTATTGGTGCAGGTGTGACAGTTACCACCCCGGTGATTGTCTATAATGACCACTCCGACCATTATCAACACAGATATATGTATGTAATAAAGTAGATTGCTAACTGATGATAAAATGTGAAGTTTCCATCTACCATTTAATTTGAGGCTCGTGGGTCTTATCATCTACTTTTATATTGTGATAGCTGTTATATCTGTGTAATATTATTAGCAATTTCGGTCTTGGTCACCGCAGTAACAATGGGAAAAAAGACAGATTCAATCATTATCACAATATAAAAGTATATGATAAGGTACATTGACCTCGAATTAAATGGCAGCCGTCCACTTCAAGCAATTATATACGGACAGTATATAACAATTAGCTAAGGTACCCGACAGTTTTTTGTGTTGCTACATTGGTTTAGGATGAGGCATTTGCGAATTTTTTTTATTGCAAATGATGGTAAATTCGTGATAACGATTGTTTCACACAAAAAAAAAAATAAAAATGAAATCATTTTTTTTTTTACGCATATCCGTAGATACATTGAAAATAAAAACGATTCAGTATACTGCAAAGTCGTTTGACTGGTTTGAATTAGGATTTTTGCACTCAATTCAAACGCGTATATACTTAACAGCTATTATATACGTAACTGAGAATATTATTTATGTTTTTGTATTATATAGTTATTTTTTAAATACTTTTTTTTCTGAAAGCATTAATCTATAGTGTTTTTTATTTTTTTAAATAATTTACATTCCTATAAAATCCTAATAAAAAAAAAAAAAACACTACCAGATTACCTATACTATTATGCTGCAACAAAAGAACAATAAAAATAAAATAAAATAATTATTATTTTATTGTTACCGATCAAAGAGCATCGTTTTCAACGATCAATAGTAAAATAAAATATACGAGTAATAAATACTATATTTTGACGGTAGATTGATGGGAGAATGATGTAATTCAATAAGGAATTATTACTCGTGGAATTATATTAGGAACGGTTCTAATCACAAGCTGTTATTTTGATTGGGATACGTAGTGTGCAAAAATAAAGAAAACCAAGAAAAAATAAGAAAAAGATGGTTAAATGGGGTTCAAAAGAATTTGGAAAACTTAGAAGTGCACTATTGGAGAAATTCGTTTTTCGTTTTTCGGCCAAACTCGGGAGAAATGTAGGGTAGTAGTATCAGCGACAAAAATTATTATAGATATATAAAAGCTAGAAAAGAAGAAATACATACTGTGAAAATTAAATAGATATTATAATGATTTCGTTAGTTTCGTTAAATTTGTAAACATTTTGAACCATCTTTTCTTTTTTTTAACCGATTGGGTGAATATCAAAAATTAAAGTACGTATAGATATTTAGACGATTATAGACGAACTTTTCAGGGTGTTCGTTAACTTTTCAGAGTGTTAACGATTTAATAATCATGATTAAAGAGTTTATAATATAATATAATTATTATTCTAAATAAAACTCCGATATTCTATCTACTCATTACTTTTGTTTGGCTTTTTTTAGAACCTTGATAGAAATTTACTGTTAAAATGATTTCTATACTCCTATCCCTATTATTAAGTATAATATTATATTGAATTCCAATCCGTTCAATTTTCTCGAGTTACCTTTTTCCAACTCCACGACATTGTCTCTCCATCTTTTTCGTAATATTTTCCCGTTGGTTTCAATTATTATTATTTCATTTATACTTTCGTTCGTCCTTAGTGGCGTATTTGAAAGTGGAGAAACGAGTTAACCCTTCTCCTCTTCTTTGGGATTTTTTTTACTGATGGTTAATATACACTAATATTTATTAAATATTTACACTATTTATGGTTTTCATCGCTGTTATTGTATTGTTTATGAAAATCATAATTTCACCTTGTGAATTTCACTATTTGTATGTTTGTGTGTGGAGGAAGCTTTTTTTATATTTAGATAAATTATAATTAATAAATGACCACCCTTGATTAAGCTTCAGATATGCTATTGCCTTTAATATTGGATTTTCCTCCGATAAACTACGTATTACGACAGTTTATCGAGCTCTACCAATACAATTTTGATTTGTTTTAATTTCCGCAACCGCAATTAATCACAATCCGTGTATTCCTCATGAAGAATTTTCTTTCGAAACTTTGTTGTCTCTCTAATTCACCTTTAAAGATTTAGTTCATATGGCACATGCCTATATGTTTTAGAGCATTGATAGTCTAAATGTAACTAAGTAACTCTCCTTTTTATATTGTTTGAGATTCAAGAGCTTATCGTTAATAATTTTTGTAACTAGAAATTATACTGTTTTTATTTAAAATTTTCGTTTTTAGGTATTTGATGTTATATTGAAGCATGACTAAATAATATTGCTAACTATAAACGGTTAATTTACGGATCGTGATTTTTTTTTTTTTTAATTTTGCATCAAATTCAATTGTCCGGACAGTGTACTCAAAACGAATCGGTCAAATGCACACTGTACAGCTATTATATTAGCTATTACTTTTTTTTTTTTTACGCCCGCATAATAAATGATACTGATAACGATAATGTGCTATTTGCGGATTGTGTTCCGCTCGACTTTGTTTCGTCGTCACTTTTTCGGCCCATCGACCTTCCGAAAAATAAATTACAAACCAATATTATACAATAATATGGTCCTAGTTTTAATTTTTGTTGCATTTTATATCGTATTAAAACGTGCGGATTTGTTAATGTGAAATATCCAGAAGAATATGGAAGAAAAACATCAACAGTTCGTTGGGGACTCGTTCCAAATAAAAGCACTTCGAATGCCGTTTTCTAATAATTACAATATATATATATATATTCAAAACCTAAACAACTTTTCCAACTTGCAGTATATGATTAATCTACAAATTCGAGTTTTGTTAAAAAAAATAAAAGTCAATTATGTTTGGTTTTAAAGGTCATTTTATTAGGGCTGTGAATTTGTAGGAAATTGCATATTTTTTTTTTCATCTGATTTTGAAACGTAGCTTTCGAAAACATAATTTGAATCATGTAACAAAAAAATAATTTATGAAACTTTTATTTTGCATTTGATGTTTTTAATTTTTAAGGTAATTTTTTTGGACTTTTTAAGTCATATTTTCCCTTTTAGTTCGTTTTCCGGTATTTTTAAACAAATTCCACGAATAAACATCTTCACGCTTTGTGCATTTGTAAGATTTTTCACTATATTAAATTCCTAGTCCAGGTCATTTTAGTTTTGTTATAAATTTGTGTGGACAAATATGGTTATTTCGGTCGTATAGGAATCCGGAAATATACTTTTCGGATTTTTAAAGTTCTCCAACTATGCGTGCGTGAATGCTAGATCGTGAAAGTCAGTTCAACTAATTAAAGTAAAGTGAAGTCATTATACTATTCCGTCATAAATAACAGTCTCCAATAGTTGTTTCCTTAACACTCGTTGCTCCTTTCCTAAGATAAAAGAAAATGCCTAGATCCCAGTTTTTCGTATTAAGTGTCATATTATGAAAAATATTAAAAACTTATCAATAGCTACCCACCATAATTCTTTTGGGAAGATCATGAAATTCCTATTTCAGATTATATACTACGCCAATGTTGAAGATTACCTAATTTTGTAAAATTTCCATTTTTATTATTTCCCGTCAAAAAAAAAAGATAAATCGTTATCTAACGTTATAGCTTTATAACTCTTTATCGAGGTTCTCTCAGAATAGTTTTATGTATAATTTCATTTCCGTTAACAAGTTGATGGAAATCAATAATTTAAACATAAAAATGCATCTAAACTAATACTTCATCTATATATAAAAAATTTATTATAGGTTGCCATTTGAAAACATAAAGTAGGTAGTAGGTCTACCCCCAAAAATAGTTGTAAAAAAAATATAACATAAATGTAAAGTTGTAGAGCTGCTTATTTCTTAAATTATGTATAAAATAAATTCCAAAAAAAGTTAATACTCTCAAAGATAATGAGTGTACCCACGTAAATGGATCAACTTGTACAGTGTTGTAGCTAAAACCAAACTGGTGTTGGTTTTTGAGGTCTTATCTCGTGAGTCGAATATACTGTCACAGCTGTATACAATAGCAATATCGATTGATATATATATAATCATATTAAATATACTAAATACAATTATATAATGCGCTTGGATTTGTAATAACGACGAGTGTGTGAACAAATAAATTGATTTGACCTTGTTTCCTTGGTAACTACCTATACGAGTATGTTCAGCTCTCATAGAATTGTGTCGTAAGTGAAAGGATATTCGTTGTTTTCTCGCGACGTGACGGCCATCGCGCGAGTTTACTATACGAACAAATGAGCAGGACAATTAATAATATTATTGTATATAGGTAAACTTGTATGTATAGGTAAATGTGCTCATTTCCTGTTTGAAGTGAAAATTCGAGAAAAAAATTAATACAAATTCACAACTAAAATCAACGTAATTTTCACTACACGATTCGTAATTCTATTATTTCGTGTACGCGTAATAGGTTACAATAATTATTGTGTTAAGGTAGGTCGTACTATAGAAAAACAATTGGTTTAATTCGACCATGGCGATGGATTTCCATACTTTTCCAAAACTATGATATTTTCATACAAATAGGTTAAAACATTATAATATAATAGGTAAGTAAATAGCTATAGATTTCACGCGTCGTCTACTAAAATTGTACTATACTCTATAGTTTCAGATTCTGATTCGTTTGAATTTCCTATAATCTATTTATTATTTTTTTTTATGTCTTCAAATTACTTTCCTACGAAGGATATTGCTTAAATCAAAAACTTTATGGAAACTTGTATGTAGAATTTGTTATCTAGTTGGTGTTTTCTTTTTATAAAAGTCGATACACTTAAAAATTGGAACAAGATTTCAGGTAGAAAAAAAGTTGAATATGAAAATGTTGATGAAATTCCTACAAATCACGGAAAATGACGGTACTATTTTCCGGTTTATGCAGATTAAACTTTTTTACACGATAAAAATACTCAAAAGTTCGAAAAAACATGAACAGTTTTAATTCATAAAAATTAATTTAATAATAATACAGCAGCTTCCTACTCACAATCAGTATTCTGTAGTTACGGTTTTTTCACCATAAGATTATACGACAATTTTTTCTTTCCGCGTATTTATATTTATTTGTAAACCTTGAAAGTTACTTGTATTATTTGTGGAATAGATAAAGAAAAGTGATAATATTGAAAACATATTGTATTATAATATGATGTTATTGCATGCGATTTGTTATTTATGATTGACACTTTGTAGTCGATGTTCGAGGTCAAGTTAAGTGTATTTTTTTTTTACTATGTTTTAAAAAAACAAAAACACGAAATACGTAAGCACTTAATCTGGAGAAGTACAAAGTATCTATAATTTATTAATTTTAGGTGTGTTAAAAAAATATATATAACCAAGAGATAAGAGATACTTTGTACCAGGGTTACTGATTAAGTAGAAATGATGATTATATTTCAAATAAAAACACAATTTACGTTTTTAATTTTATTATTGTTAAAATGCAGTGAATTATCTATAAATATATATTTAGTAAGTATAAAACATACCTACGCCTAAGTGTAGCAAGTATTTCTTTTTTTTTCATTTTTTATTTATTCCAGATATTTAAAATTTTTTTTTTTACAATTTGTTGCATAAAAACAATGAGTACTCAGAGAGTATGAGGTACTCATATTATATATTTGATGAATATATTAAGTAAATACCTTATAAAAAAAGAGAAACAAAAAAACAACGACATAAACAAATCTCGAAGAGTTCACTAGCATTAATATAAATGTAAATGTAAATCTTAAGCAGTATAATATATAATTTACTTTTAGTAAATCCCAGAATTCACTGCGTTGAAATAAAGTAAAATTTATTTTAAAATCATTTTCAATATTTTATAAATAAAAATAAAAATTATATATTGTATTATAACTGCAGTTCGCTGAACGTTCAACCACATTCCTTTAAAAATATTATTTGTTTTAAATATAGATTTACTTTTACTCTGATTTAAGGAGCCTCGTCAATAACATTTGTTTTCACCGACTATCCTACACATAGCATAGAAACAAAGTCATTTTGCATTTCTACTATTGCGACTTTCTGGGTGTAGAGTAAAGAGACCTATAAATTATTATGATAAAAAAGAGGGTATTTACTATATGGATCTTACGGTAGTTATAAATGGTTAGAATTATCAGAAAATTAAAACACTATTATAACCTTGATAAAATGTGTTTTTTTCTATTATTAAAAACGTCAAACTAAAATAGTTACAACATATTTTATCTTTAAATAATATTTCTTTTACACAATTTTGTCCAGAGCATTACTTCCTGTAATTTTCAACGATTGTCAACAGAAATTAAGAGAAGAGTAAGTGCTTTTTGATGGTGGAATTGTTTAAAAACCCGATAAAAATTTGATCATAAGAAACGGTAATATATTTTTTCATTTCTATTTTTTTTTTTTTGACAAAATCGTTATATAAAAATACCTGAGTAAATATATACAGGTGACAAGATGCAAAGAGAAAAAATGTATTTTTGAATTTCGGATTTTATATTTTGTTTGTAGTGGTTCTCTTTTGATCGCAGAAGCGAGAAAACGGTGTATCAATATTAAATAGTTGTTTTGTAGTTACTCAGATTCGTTTTTTTTCTACGATGTATTATACGTGTGTATAAGGGTATTTTTAAAAATTACATACGCCTGAGCCCTAAAAAATTTTGTACCTTGAATTACGGGGGTGGTTCCCACGCGAGAGGTGTGGTCTCTACTATATTAAACATAAAATGTAAATGTCTACGGCTAAGTTGTCGGTGTAATAATAATAATTTATTATAATTGTATTTTCGATACCAATTTGTATTTTTAAACGAAAAAAATACAATGGTATAATGTTGCTAATTTTAATTAGCAACATTTCGAACTCGGTGTTTGCTCGTTGCCAATTGGCAATCGATAAAATAATAGTAATAGTCCATTACTATAATAGACTGGAAAAAAGATGTATTAAATCAAGAAAAAAAAAAAGTCTTTTTCGATTAAGATTTTCGTTTTCATTCTGTATGCGTTTTTAAACGAAAAATGCAACAAACAAAATCTGTTGCGACGACATGAAATTATCATTAAACGCGTATTTTTTAAAAAAAAAAAAAAATCACAGTGGTGAAATCTACAAACGATTTTGTTGAATTTTCAACTATAATTATACGTATATAATACGATTTATATGAGCTGCGAGAGTTTTAAATGTATGGGAGGTGAGGGAGTAAGAACTATGAAGTGTTAAAAGAGTTAGAAATTTAAAGTCAAACTTGTTCAAATAGATGGTCGCTGGTTTGTGAAAAAAACACACCGAAAAAATATCATTCTGTATAATAAGGTGTAAGTATAGTACACGTACTTCGCGTTGTTACGTGTCAATTTAATAACTACTTATACTCCATTATTATAAAACCTAATATTATCTATCATCCAAGTATTATTCTATGATCATTAATTTCATGCCGACAATCATATTATTTAGCTTTGGATTACGCGTATAAAACTAACTTACAAAGTGGCTGATTTGAACATTTTAAAATGTGCGTAAACATTTTTATTTTTTTAATAACTGAGAGATGAAAAATAAAAATTATTCCGATTTAAAAAAAAAAAACAAGTTAAATATTAACAGAGATCTAAAAATCCGTCAAACTCGGCGGGACACCCTATTCATAATTTATAATATCTGTATAGATTATAGATATTATTTATATTTTATACCCGTGTATTAAAATATCGAATCGCCAATAATATGTTTACATACTCAACGCGTGGTATGAAATCGCATTTATTTTACATTTTTTCAAATTATAAAAATTATACTTTAATTATACTTGGTAACTACATTCTATAAATTCATAACGTTTTTCATTATCGTATTATATTATACAGGTATTGCGAGCGATGGTTAGAGGGCAAAATTTACAATACTTGCCTTGAAGTGCTGCAATGACAAATTAAAATATAAGGTTATATTCTTGGTTCTTATGCAAATATTATACCTAATATATTTCTATACTAAATTATATTATGATACATTTTCTCCCTTTAAACGTGATCACCTTATCGTTGGTAAAGTGTCCTGTCCGAAAAAATTCGCTAATACGACGATTAAAAAGGAAAGAACCACCGTTTGTTTTTCTAGCCATTACTCGTTTCCAATCCTGTATAGTTTATAGTCCATAATTAAAACGTTGGCAATCTGTTAATTTTTCAATGTGTCCGTTTCATTTATTTGAAAAATCATTGTCATTGCGATTACAGAATGTAATATTTTCTCTTCTGTTTTAACAACAAGTTATAAAATATTAATTAATATGCATTATACAGGATTAGGATTTTCAAAACTCAAACTAAAGTATGTTTAAATATTGAATAAAATATTAAAACACCTAATCTACGTCAAATTAGTTACCTACCTAGGTTTTATTTTCGCATACATTCAAGAAATTCTATAGCATTTTGACCAGTTTGTGATACTGGTTGGCTTATTTGTTTCCGATTTATTGTCAGGTTGTAAATCATTTTAAACCGATCAAGGCAGAAATTCACGAATAAATCAGTTTGACCCCATTCCCAAGTTATTTTCCTTATTACCTATTATAATATAGTATTAACGTAATATCGTATTATCATTTATCGTTATTACAAGACGCAACTACAAACTATAGAATTTTGGTAGTGATCTTCCCTAATATTTTAATACATAGAGAATTATTATTGTTATAATTATTGTACTAGACGAGTGCAAAAAGTATTTATTTTCTGTATGTAGTTTTTCTGTATGGTTTCTTTATTACTTTGTGCTATTTTCACGTCATAGCCCCTGAGTGATCGTAATATTGGAATTATGATATTATTATACTTAGTAATAAGCAGTTGTCAGAGGTGGAGCTAGAAATATTTTTCTGGGTAGGCCAGATAAATAATATTAAAAAAATATCAGGACAAGAGACTACTAATAAAAATGTTTAATTTTAAAATTGTTTGTTAATTTCGGAGAAAAATGGATAGGGCTTACCAGCCGGCCCACTGGCTATGTCACTGCCGAAAATTATAAATCGTTCTAAGTAACACCGGCCGGTCACACATTAACAAAAAATATTGCAGACGAAATAAAACCTGACATGGTTTTGTACAACAAATTGGTGTTTATTTTCGATTTAAGTCCGACATGAACTCCGTCAAATTTCCTTTTAGAAAAATTGCCATCATTATAAATTCGAGCAAAATTTCTGGTAGCAAAGTTGTCCACAGAAAAAAAAATAAACATCTTTTTAAAACTATAGGATTCTTCGCTCCTCTCAAAATCTAAAATAAACCGATTTTCGGATTTGAAAAAAAACGAATTGTTCTTCCGTTATTTACTAAATATTATGTAAATGTTTGGTAAATGTTTGTTGGTTTGGTTTTACCGGCAGTATAATATTAGGACATTATCCGACTAAATATATAACACTATTAAGTCCTCTTACAAAATGTACCTATACCTATAACTCTGTCTATATAGTTACATTTCGTATACCTTTCGTGTTTTGTGACCATAATAATTTCTAATTCTGAAATCTCACCCGATATAACGATGTCACCACAAAGATTACGATATTTTATTATTACGCCGAAATACACAACGTCATGCAATGTGTTCAGGTGTCAACTCTTTGTCGAACGTTATATTATGCAATAATATTATTTATTTTATGTACCGTCACAAACCGTAATAGGTATTATAAACGCATTTAGACTAACGAACATATTATTATCTTTCCTTAAAGAGAAAGTGTTGAAATTAGTTTTGTTAATTTTAGATTTAAATATTGTCCCGTGCAAAATGTACGTTGTTTATTTCTTATTATTTAACGTGTTTTACACAAAAACATTTAGCCTTTGATCATCGCCCATGGAAATATGACTTTCAATTTTTATACCATTGTAATTGGTAAAGTTTTAGATTCTGAGTGGAGCGAAGAAGCTTATGGTTTTACAAAGATATTAATTTTTTTTTTCTATGAACAAATTTTCTACCAGCAATTTTGCTCCAGCTTTTAATGATAACGATTTCTCTAAAAAGAAATTTCACTGAAGGGGTACTTTAGAGATGCTGTTTTTCGATTTTCTCCTGAGTTTTCTCAATAGATGTGAAAAACAGGGGGAAAACATAGGAAAACCAGGGAAACGTAGGGAAACTGGGGAAAATCGGTACAACATTAAACATTATTAAAAAATATGTAGAATGCCTGTTTAATTATTTTACTATAATATGGCATATATATAAATTATATATTATTGACAAAGCATCACTATCAACTGAACTCAGAATAGTTTTTTCTTAAGCAATGGTTTATCGTGGCTTAAAAGTATATATTAACAGTGGCTGCATCCGTCCCTATTATCCTAGGACGTCTTTTTATTAATGAAATAATTTTAACGCTTACCGTTCAATTGTAAAGTTGTCCAACTGTTTACCGTGTGGTTCCTTATTTTTATCTATATTTTGTTGGTATCAGGTATGTCTGATACATGAATAATGTCAATACTGTTAATATATAAGTATAATTTAATTTTAATTAAATTAAAAAAATGGTGCATTATTTCAGCAAGCTAATGGGGACTATTTTAATAGGAAGTAGAGAGGCTGCACACCCTGCTCCTCCCCAGAAAGTCCCCATTTCCAAAACAAGTTAGCAATTTTGTGGTGTCACTATATATTATGTATAATATTTTAAAATTGAGTTGAAAACTTATATACCCATAAAACGATCACTATTTTCAATATATAGTTAGTCTAGTGGTTAAGGCGTTAGGCAGTTAGGTAGTTATGTTGATTAATGAGTCTCGGGTTTGATACCCGGCGGCGACTTCTGCAAGATGTCCGTTTCTTGCATTTTTATTTTTCGTATATTTTTATTATTGTTATACATTTATGTTGAAAATAACGTCTATGTAACATATAGTATTAGTAAAATACATATTTTTAGGAAGTTTTTTATAACATCACATAGCAGTTGTTACGATGTTATTGAGACGTTAGAAAACACGTTACATTTGAGTAAATGAAAAATAAATATGATGTTAGAAATTTTAGACATTAGCGGTACCGATACGTTACTTTAACGCAAAAACAACAATAAATGCAATGTTACATGTTGATTTGAAACTACCCTGAAATGTTTCTGTAATATAATATTGCACAGTAGGTGAGGTCTTCTTGTTATGTTAATACAAGATGAAACCTTTGCGTCGTCACACTAATCCCTACATTTCTTACATTTTCCCGTTTTATTTTTTCGATTTTTTATATTTATTGAGTAAACGGCCGAGAAAATCGAAAAATGACTTCCTTAAAGTACCTCTCCACACCAATATTCTATTAGAAAAGGTGGTACACTGATTTCTGGTAGAAAAGTTTATCACAGAAAAAAAAATAAACATCTTTGTAAAACCATAAGCTTCTTTGTTCCACTCAGAATCTAAAATTATGTTGAATATCCTATTCAACCTTTACATCGAGATCATATGGGACATTTGAGTATTATGGGGCAATGTTTGATTAATTACACATTTATAATTTAATAATATCAATAATTTCGTTTTCGTAATATAATCTGTTAATATCTAATAATAACAATAATACAAATAAATTAACTGAATCTGAATTTATATAAAATAATTAAAATTATAGTTCTTATACAAAAACTAGGTAAGTATAAATTATGTATATTAAGTATAAAAAATTCCATAGTTTCACTAACGGAAAATATTACTTTCAACATCGGTATCAATTAGAAAATTTGATCGATTTTAAATAATGTTGTTGTAACTAAAGTATACAAAATTATTAAGATATTGGTTCAATACACATTGGCAAATAATATATACCTTATATCCGAGTTAAAATTCTAAAGTCCACCGTGATTATTGTAATCTTATGAAACATTTAAAATACATAAAATCCTTAAGAGTACATCACAACGGCATCTACAGTCTTCGCATTACAAACACATAACATTTCAAATGTTTGATTTCAGTAGGACAATTAATGTTGCGCCGTTAGTTTTAATACTAAAGCGAATTGACTTATTAACAAAACTTAAAAGTAAAAAAATGTATCTATGCTCTAGAGTTGATTTTTGTTTTATATTTTGTTTTTAAGCGAGATGCAATTATTTTTAAATTGTTATATTTCATATACTCATATCAGTTTTACTTATCATGTTCACTCTACTCGCTTAAATATTAAAATATCAGAAAAAATATTAACGCTAGGGCACAGATAATCGTATTACCTTTAACTTAGGCATTCCGCTTTAATATTAAAAGTTACGGCACAACATTTTTCCTATTGAACTTAAGTTCAAAGTTGTTATTTCATACGTTTGTAAGACGGAGACAGTACATTTGGATGTGTGACAAAGGCACAATAGCGTCATGATATAGGAATTATACATAGGAGATGTAAGCGGAGAGATGTAGTAGGTGTAGTTTCTTGTTTTCTGAATTTATTGCAGATTAATATTTCGTATTTATTATGTTACTTATCTGCATGCTTTTAAATCGTTAACCTTAATACTATCAGTGTTTTCCATTTCAAATGGCCACTGTGCCGAGAAGAGTGAGTCAGCTGGATTTTATAATAATTCGATTCGTACATCGGACAATTATACTATGCAGTGATAATTTCGCTATCTCGGGAATTCGCTGGGAATGTACATTTCTTGTTTCCTACATATTTTATATACCTTATACACAAAAACGTGGCATAATTATAATGACCGTTAAGTATACAATGGGAAAAAATAAAGAAACACGAAAAATCTCGTTTCGCCTATTTAATATTATTATACGATTTGTATAATTAATGTATATTTTAGATATCTAAATGATGTGTAGTCGCTCCGTTCTCGTTCTCTCGGTATGTCATCGAATAAGAGAATTACGAAAAAGTAACCAGAAGATAGGTATACGAACAAATTCGAATAATCGAGTGTTCATGAATACTTATATAATGTGTTTTATTGTATTATATTAGTCGTATGAAATATTGAGATATGGAAAACTCATTCGAGTAATCGCGAGTGTTGTACAATGAAAATTGTTTGGATTTAAATGCCACGAAAACACGGGAAAATATGAAACCTCCACATACTATTATTTTTGAAAATTAAACAATATGATATTGTTATTTTAGAAAAATAGTTAAAAAAAATATAAGTTACAGGTTTTATAAATAAAACCTGTTTTCTTTCTTAAATTTAATTACTTGAAAAATGTTTTACTGAAATTTGCTGTCTTTTCCGGGAAATTTGTTTTAAAAAAATGTGTTGTTTTTTTGCCGGAAATTTCAATCCTTGATAAAATGTAATAAAACACTTATACAATATGCTTAATCACAATGTTAAACAACTTTTGATAACGCCAAGACTGTATAGTTTTATTGAACTTTGAATTTTCGCGCGTTTGCACCTGTTGTTGCATGTTCGACGTGGATTTTATTGTTCGAATTATGCCGAGGGTTTTCAATTACCAAGAGTCGACTATAGTATTATACCGTATAAAAACAATTATCTTTATTATTATTACCTTATTATCATTATGATTGTTATTATTATGGTTGTTATACGACCGCGCGTATCGCAATAACAGGATTCGTGCTTGGGTGGGCCGCCGCCGACGACTAGGGACATACAAATATGTAAGACAGCAGCTAAGAAAACGATTTCGTCCGTGAAAACTATAATTGTTTTTCGTGCGAATACCTACATATACCTGCGATTTATTATACAAATACGAGATAGCGACCTAACGTTATTGTATTCGTATACCTACACATATCTTGTGCTGCAGACCGATCCGAAGTTTTTCAGTATCTATCCATGAATCGAACGTCCCCGAAGATATTACTCGTCCGTTACAGCGTGCCTGTGTAATTTAATAATAATAATAGTATGTACTTATAAAAACGATAAGTACTTATGTCTATCGTCGTGGTTCAGCGGTGACCAAAATAATAATTTATTATGTACCTGGCATGCTCGTAAACACCACAGATACGGTTGCGTTCTTTTACGGTGCGGCGTAGCTGTTTCATGCATTTATTCGATATCTGCGTCGATGATGAGAGATAATAATCCAAGCATGGTTAGTACACTGTATTGTATTGTATATTTGTATTTTTGTCTAATAGTTTGTTTCTTTAACATTATGTTGCTAGATTGATACGACCGGTCTTGCCCGGAAAATAGTGCTAAAAATTAGGCAGCCGGACCGGGAATCGAACCCGAGTTTCTCTCTTACCGGACTATTGCTTTACTATTAATAGCTACCCGGTGCTTAACTTATAACACAAATTACACTGGACTTGAGCGAATTAACATTTCAGCCGCGTGTGTGGTTGAGGGGACGATGCGTGTAAATATTTGTCAAACAATTCTTTATATAATTTATTTAGTTTAAAATGTAGTATTCTGCAGAAATTCGAGTAAATATTTAAAATTTATCCAAATAATGTAGTATATATAAATATAGAATATAGATACTTATAATCTTCCGGTCGGTTTTGGATTTCTTTCTTTGATAATTTATATCCTTATACCAACCTGAAATATTGTAATAATAGTCGACAATAGTCATAATGCAATAAAATAGTGTTATCGTATACTATGAATATTATTATAAAATGGCTATGAATCTGTGAAGACTGTAAGCGACGTATGAAAATCACTAGACTCTGTAATCGAATTTTAACGTTCGCATTGGTTCTTATTTTGATCACAACATAATCACATAACTCACATTACCAACAATATCATATTCTTGTCATAATTTGAATAATCGGAATTGACTGTACTTGATAGATTATTGATAGCCACTTTTAGCACGATAAAATCGCTGTTTGTGTGTGTTATGCCATTTTTTGACTATATACAGAATATAGCTTTTGACTTACAAAATACTCACGTTTCAATCATAATAAACTTCACATGGTGACTTATTTTGTCTCGTATTTCCACTGTATATAGCGTATTGGATCTTTTCGATTTTGACGAACTAACTAATCCGTAGTCACGATATTCGTATTTCTATAACATTAATAATGATACACCTACCTAATATCTGTGTGTAATATTCTGTATTCCGTTGCATAAGACGGGACTCGATAATGATACAATATTATATTATTAAATAATACTATAGACAATAATATTTCTCGCGATTAATTTTAATATTTTTTCTCCAACTGCAAAACGTTGTGCGCGCCAGTATAAAATTAATAATAATAGTAATAATAATGTAATAATCAGCTATCGAAAAAATAAATAATGAAACGCAAATTCTCTAGTCTTTGATAATGAATATTACCAGCTTTTAGTCGTGTTCTCGAAAAAAATAAACGTGCGCAGTATTATAACTTTATAATATTGTATTTTTCGACTCGTGCGTCGTGACTCCTGTAATGAGGTCTAAAAATATAGCGGCAGCACTGCACACGATTTGCGGATTTTTGCGGGTTTATATTTACACAGAATTCTCAATCGGCGGTGTAATTTCGGTATAATAATAGTTGAAGAGCTCAGTTTAACAATAAGGCAATTCCAAAATTACATTTTGATAGTTTCGAGTAGAGCAATAAATGATAAATAATTCGGTACAACAATAATTCAAGTACGTTTACTAAGTATGGAAAAAAATAGGGGTAATAACTTATTAGGCTCAATAAAATTCTAGGCAAAAATAAAACAAGTTCCATAAATAAATGGTTTTTATTTTTCTTAAAGCTGATTTCACCATAATGGGGTTAAAGCACAAATTACTTAACCCTGAGTTACCATTGTTTCAGTTTTACCACACATTTTTGGGCAAGAGTTAGTTAATCTTAAGCCTAGACGATCTTCTGTATCTAATTGTTTTTACTAGGTTTTTCTCTGATAACAGCGATAAAAATCTTAATTTCGAAAAGTCAACTTGTCTTGTTGTTGCACTAAGTCCTTCAACTGATATTTAGACTGAACCAAAGTTTCCGAATTGCCAAGATTATTTATTTTTTTTACTATAGTTAAACTTGAACAATCTATCCATCCAATTACAATTTATACCTATCACCGTAGGGACGGATCCAGGGGGGCCTTGGGGCCCAGTCTCCCCCAAATATATTATTTATCTTATCTTTGTATGTGAACTGTATGAGAAAATAATATACATAATGTATTATATTATATTTTAATTGTATTTATGTTATTAAAAAATTGTTGGCCTTCCCCCCCAGATCTTTGCTCTGAATCCATGCCTGTATCACGGTGACTTGAAGATTGAAAAAATGAGGAAACCTGCATTAATTTAATAAAAACTTCATTGCTATTGACCTCGTAAAATATAAAGTAATAGTACGAAATTAATTGATAATTTTTAATAAAAAGAAAAATAATAACAAAGTAAAAAAAAAAGAAAGATAAAACTAAAGAAACCTTTTGATCAACTGTGGGTATTGAACTCAGATATATCTATGTATTACTTAAATACCTAATACTCAAAACCGTGACGGTCGTTAAAGACTTAATTATTTTAAATATTATCCAATTGTGTGTTCTATCTGATATTTTACACCAAAATTTAAGAGTAAAATTTTTTCTGAAAGATGATTTTGTCTAATTGGTAAATAAGGAAGTTTTTTTTTTTTAAATTTGTTCGTGGTTTTTCAATAAACGGGAGAAAAATGAGCAAAACAAGAAAGTTTACAGATAAACAGTTTCATTGTTTTCGATTTTTTTTTTTTTTTTTTTTTTTTTTTTTTTTTGTAGTATTTTGTTTATTATATTGTTAATGGATTTTTTTTATAAATTAATAAAATTGTTTTGTCAAACAAAAACAGTTAAAAATTAAATACGATGTTTATCAGAAATTGTACTAAGTGGTAAAAAATCAGAAATGTAGCATATTATTAACGCTAAATTTAGCAACACTGGATTTTGTTATAATTTTGTTAAGATCAAATTTGATTAAAAAAAACGTAAAAATTACGAAGTTTCAATATATATATATAGGTAACCGAACTTTGCTCAGAATCATTTTTCGTGTTTCAAAGTTTAGACATCAAACTGATAACAATCATCATTATTTTAATATTTTTTATAACATAAAATATCTGAAATCTACATATATATATATATATCGATAAAACGATTGTGTAGCTAAAAAAAAAAAAGTTACAAAATGATAAAAAGTAGTCCAGTTAGTTTAGATTAGAAGTACAATTGATCATTACTGACCTATAGACTAACAGTACTTTGCTTATTTTTTTTTTCTTCTAATGGACAGCCGAGAACCATATTTTATAAAATATAACTTGTCGTCAAAATCTTCATAAGTTGAATATAATTTTAATTTGAGATTTGATATTCATCTTTTACTCTTCACAGGATATTTTTACTTAAAACTGCAATATTTTGAACTGACCGATTTAATTTATAGATAAGTATATATATGTAAAAAAAATATACATTCAAGAATAGAATTCCCACCCACTCTGATCGCCGCCACGATCGTCTCCACCGACGACAACAGTTATCGCGGTGGTCACGGTTTTTTTCTTTGTTTTTTGTGTCAAATGCGAAATAAAATCGCAAACAAAGAAAAGACATAATATGAGAGTATTATCACAATTTTCGGTACTTTATTTTTTATATTATATATCGAACAGTTATAATACAATCGTTTGTTCAATAATCACTAAAAAAAAAAATACGGTTCACAGTTATTTTTCGTGTTTGAAAAAAAAAAAACACGAAAACAAAACTATGTATAGTTGTGAAAAAAAACGGGACTAAAAGTTCATATTAATCGGGACAACACGGAGCTACAGAAAATGTATAAAAATATAAATAATAACAAAAATATACAAATCGTGTATAATATGTTTAATCTTTTCAAAAACGAAAAAACACCCCTGCGCTGTGAACAACAGTACCTAATCGAGTAGAATTTTCTCCCAACCGACCTTTCGCTGGTATAATATTTCATTGTTTTTTCTTTTATTTTAGATTTGGAGCGTATTTATAATTGTAATTATTATTGCCAAAGTTTTATTAGACTTCAGTCAGTAGGGAGTATTTAAAACCCAGTATATCCTTTGAAAAAATGAAATTTAAGATTAGAAATGGTTGCAAAGGAAGTTTAAAGTTGATACTCCTTAAAGGTACACCCTTATATATACATACACACGATATTTATTGTAAACAACAAAATTATTTTATCTCCCTTACTTGGACCAGGGGTCTGTGTAACTGTACAAAGTTCGAAAAACCGTCCTCCCGTAACCACATGATTAAATTCATATCAAAAATTCAATATCAACGTCAGCATCAAAATTTTTGAAATTAATCGATATATCAGTAGAAGTTATAATATATATATATATATATATATAGAGAGAGACGCATTTTTCGCGATTTAAACTCACATTGGTATTTTCGATATTTTTTTGAGGGAAAGGGGCCTGAAAAATAATGTGTTTTTTAAAGGTATTTTTATTATTTTGGACAGATGCCTGATTTTAAGCAAAATTTCATTGAAAATATATCCACGTCTTAGGCTCGGGTTGTCCAGACGATATTTAGACGTTTTTTCTTAGGAATTAAAAAAAAATCATCACTTATGGTAATAATCCACAACATCGACGACGACGATTAGCCGAGCACGAAAAAATCATCGTAATCACGTCCAGGGCGGTTGCATATTATAACAACAATATTATTTATATTAACTTGACGTCGTTGGAGCGTAGGTTTTTATGTATTTTTTACTTATTTTATTACCCGCGCAGTTTCCTCTCTTGCCGGTCGCATGTGTAAACAATAATATGAATATGTTGACGATTGGTTTTTTTTTTCTGCTTTTTAAGGTGCGTATTGGCAACTCGCGTCGCGTCGCGTAGTCGGTTTGGTCGGGTCAACGGACACGCATATATAAGTATATATAATATAATATTATGTGTACAATAATATTATACGACGACGCAGCTTGTCGATATTATTATCATTATTATTATTACGCTCACGGGCGAATTTTTATTAAAAAAATTTCCTTCCTCTCCTAGCTCTTTCTCTCAGTCTGCGTGTGTGTCTGTCCGTGTGTATACCGTGAGGCCTGTCTGCAGTCCGGTCACGAAAGGGTCGTCGGCCGACCGCGTAGAGTTAAGAGTATAATTTTATAGGCACCTTCCCGGGTATTATAATATATACTCGGGAGATTTTAAAAGAAAAATAAAAAAAAAATAATAGTTTTATATCTGTACCTGTAAGGTCGCGCTTCAGCGCTGCGACATAATAATATCATTTGTATTAAATATTATCTTCGTGTGTGGACGAACGGCCTTTGTTATTGTTGTTTCGTTTTTTTTTTTTTTTACTATCTAAAAAAATATCGAGAATACATAGTTGATATGCTTTTATTTTCTATATTATTATACCGAGCCCGAGTGCCCTCGGGTAAGGCAAAAATTTTTTGACCGACGATGGGCTCCGTCGACCGCTCAAGAACCCGTTTCCGTTATCACGGTAAAATACTACTGCAAGACTGATTTCGCGAGACTACAGCAATGTCACGATTATAAAGGTGAAAACGGACGTTAGGGCCAGAATAAAAAATATACCCGTTTATGATAAATAAAATTAAATAAAACCTTTTAGTCGAATATTTATTTGATATTATGTTGTTTTCGGATGGAAAAGGATAGTGAAAAAAAAAGAGAGAACTGATGGGTGTAGATGGAAAGTCAAAGTACAATTCATAATAAACCTTGTATGAAACTTTCAAACATTTCTGTTTGTTAAAATAATTGTATCTACATTAAACAAAAAATGTCAAAAACCGTAATCGTTATTGCTGTAAATTTTCAAGTTTTCCCTACGTATTTTTTCATTTATTCTCAAAACTACTGGTAAAATCAAAAAATGATCTTCAAATGCATCAAAAAAATTCAAAATTATAGGGCCTTTCAAAACATGTTCATCTGAACTCCGCTCAGAATTGTTTTTCGTTAACAATAATTAATCGTTTCGTACAAATATAAATTAAATTTCTTCTCTACCTTCCCAACTTCTCACCTATAACAGTGACCCACCCATCGTGCCAAGTTTATCAGTTTGTTTTTTTTCTTATTTAGTGTTGAGGGGAAACCCAAAAACAATTTCACGGAAAAACAGGAATATTCGATGGAACAACGAATGGCGGGTGCAAAATAATCGTGAAGATTTAAAATTTTAACCGAATACAGGCATTAGAATTGTTTAAACATAATATTTCAGATTTTGAAATATGCCGGATTTTTTTCTGTTATTCATAGCTATATTTGATATGTTTTTGATTTTATTTAATTTTTTTATGTATAAAATTGTTTAAACACCTAGTAAAAATATTAGAGATTTAAATATTTCTCATTAGCTGTGTTGGTGATAAAAACAATTGAGCCGAAATGCCATTATTTATTTATTTATTTTTAAATTAACAAATTGTGCGTTATGGTATAATTGTTCATGTTTTCTAGTTTTCAAAATAACTGCGAAAAATCAAGAAAAAACATAGGAAAACGGGATAATGTACGACAATAACAGTTTAATTATTTTAGATTTTGTTTTTTTGTTGTACCTCGGTTACAAATAATCGTAAAGATCTGAGATTTTCAAATTTCACAGAATACCTATATAAGCTTTTTTTACAGACGTCGGTACATTTTCAATCCATTCTGTCGACTGTGAAAAATATTTTTAGGTATATTATTTTATACGTATAATGAAATATTCGTTAAAAACACAAACAACAATAATTGCAGTTTATTTTCCAATAAGAGATTCTACAATATAATATAATTTGAAATGTTCAAATTAATCAGTAAAAAAAAAAAAAAATTAAAAATCTAGCTACGAACTCGAATCGTTTTTAGTTTGCAATAATTTACTGTAACCTAACCTAATCTACAGAGTACATGACTCTTCGGTGGTGCCTAATCTCGGAGCAGTGGCCGTAAAATTGTTATCGTTTTCTTTTCGATTTACTGGAAAAAAAACACAACAAACGAAACGCGATGCGGATAAAAAAAAATCCGAACCAGTCAACGGCAATTGGTAGGGGGGACGGACGAAATAAAACCACTAACCAAGTCGACTGACTCACGTCTCCGACATCAGCATCGTGTAGGTTTACCCGGTCCGCAGTATAGGTTAGGTCGGTATAATAACAATAATAATAACAATATCGCGATACACCGCGGACAGCTACCTACGCGCGGATTTCGCCCACGCGCGCCCGCGGTCATTACGGTAATAACAGCTATTACATATTTCTTATATTATTATTACTATATACACGGTACACGTCGATCCGAAATAATAATAATAACGCGCGCTCGTGACGGCGGTGGGCGAACTCGCCAAATAAAATGCGAACATTATTTGTTCTCCGTTCTCGTCGTATAATGTTGTATTAGCACGAAGTATGTACCTACCAACCTGTTTTACTGTCGTATAGTAGCAACTGCAGTAAACTATCGAATTGTCGAAAATGAGATTGGAATATGCAGAAAAGGTTAATTTTCGTATTCTGCGTATTTCATTGATTTAATACCTTCGGAAACGATTTTAAAACGTCATACTGCACGGTTTTGTTTTATTTTTGGTTTTAAAAGTTTTAAGTAAATCACAGTAAATTACCAAAAACGCAATACCTATAATTTGTTGATATTATTTTTGCATTCATTACTGATAACAGAATATTGTATACTGTATGTACCTAAAAATTCGGGATTAAATGCATTTAGTATCACTCAAGTCACTGTATATTAATTGCAGTATCTGCTTGTATTTTTTTGTATATTCTACAACAATTGCTCTCATAAATTGTCTAATTACGATTGTTATGACTAATTTCGTATTCGATTTGGTAATATTTTAGTAAGACGTTAGAACAGAAGGCCACGACTCTAGCAGAAATGAAAATTCCTAGATCTAGATACACGAGTGCAGAACTCACTATTCAGAGGACAAAATACGAATCAGCATTTACAGTCCATGAAGGACTTTTGCTGCCTATACCTCTTAAGCTGCCTTCTATTCTGGTTACTTGGAAAATTTCGGCTAGATTTAGCTCGTAAATACGATACGCATCAGCCATCCATCAGAGGAGATAAAATAATAAATGAGTAAGAACTAGTTAGAATAGTATCTTACTGTTATAAAATATCTTGAAATAATTTTAAAGAATCGTATTTTTATTATATCTCATCGTGCCTTTGAAATACAGTAAAATAAAATTGATCAAATAAGATTTCGGTAACTGCCGTTTTTGCTGCACCATTCTCAAAAAAAAAAAAACGTTTAGTCTCGCTACGGTCCAATTATAAAACAGACGCCGAATCGGATAATTCAGTACCAAACTAGTGCACAACAAATTGTGTATCACTATATACATAGGTAACAAATATACTATAGGATTTTATTAACTCTATTTGATAAAAAGAAAAGTTATGATTATAAAATAAAATTAAGGACAATTTAATATTAAAACTTGTATAGATATTCTTTCACCTTATTTTTTTTTTACTTTATAAACCGCCCGGCGCCCAAAAATTACACGAGAATATCATATAGAAAAACCGTACACTGAAACCATTAATAACTGTGAATAAAAAATAATAATAGAAAATTGAATAATATTATTTTTTTTTATTCATCATGATAAATAAGTGGGTAACTGTATCGGAAATTGCATATACATGTATTTTATAAAATCTACAATAATAAAAGATTTGTATGTAATATCAAAAACTGTAACACTGTTCTACATTTGGAAGTTGTCAATTATCAGGATTATTTTCACACGAGACAATGGGGGACTATATTTACCGAAAATTGAAGGGCGTTTCTGTGAATTGATTAAATACAATTAAACGTTCAGGAAACCCGTCATCACGGAGACAAAACTTTCAACATGTTTTTCTCCCACGCGCATTTTATGCAATAGATTTTAAATAGTCCACACAATCAAAAATGTTATCCCACACATATGCCTGTTCATTAAAAATAAAATAAAATATAGTCTGATTATGTATAGTCCAATGTGGTGTTAAAGAATTTATTTTGGTTATTAAACTAATTCTAGTTTTTAAGACGTCATTAAAAATACAAAACAACAGTAAATAAAAAATCCCTCCGGATTTCGAAGAATTCAACTGAAAGGGAACGATAAATCCACCTTAAAAAAGAAGAGGTATGGAGGGCTCCATACCCCTTCTCTCTTTCCTACTGCTTTACCAACTGATTACATACAGTTTTCGTACTGTGACTTATTACAAATCATAATGATTTATATTCTACTATTTATTCTAGCGTAGCATTTTAGCTGTATCTACAATATAACGCCACATATCATGTACCACTTTATTATGAATACTTAACGCTTTTGAAATTTCTTCTACATCATATATCTATATTTTTGGTGCTATTTTTGAAACACACAATGGCCTTTTCTTTATTATTTGATAAAGCTTCTTATAGGTATACATCCAATATCCCGTCAGTTTTATAAGACTAATATTATTATTGCCTATCGATCGATGTAGGTCAGTGTGTCACGTGTGGTTATAATGCAATACACACCACAATATGCATAATATCATGCGGTTTCAAGCCGGTTAAAAATTATCCGCGTGGTTGTGATTTGTGATCCAGTATGGGGACACTAAAAACGTAGTAGTTATAATTTATAAGTATGCGATTATGTTTATGGTAATATGCATTTGTTAACATTGAAAATTGGAAACAATAGATAAAAACCAATAAAAAAAATTAAAAACTGACCTAGGATAATAGAGACGGATGCAACCATTAATATAGGTAATCGAATGTATACGTGTAAGCAACGATAAACCATTACTAACAAAAAAATGATTCTGAGCGGAGTTTTTTGATAGTAATGCTTTGTCAAAAATGTATATGTAATTTTATAGTTAAATAATTAAATAGGCATTATTAATTTATTTTAATAATATTTGTTTAATGTTGTACCGATTTTTCCGTTTTTCCTATGGTTTCCCGGTTTTCCCACGTTTTTCCCGGTTTTTCACACTTGCTAGCAAAATTCTTGAGAATATCAAAATATAATATCTTTAAAGTATATTCCTTATCGGATTTCCTTTCAGAAAAACTGCTATCATTGCTAATCGGAGCCAAATTGCTTGTAGAAAAGTTGTGTACAGAAAAGAAAAATCATAATATATTTCGTACATTTTTCCGTTATTTTCTTCGTTTTTTTTTTCGATTTTTCACATATGATGAAAACTCTTGAGAAAATCGAAAAGTGAACCCTTTTAAATATTTCTATACACCGATTTCCTTTCATTAAAGGTACTACATTTAAAAATCGGAGCAAGATTTGTGGTAGAAAAATTGTACACAGATCTTTGTAAAACCATAAGCTTCTTCGCTCCACTTAGAGTCTAAAACCGTCATTGATGCGAGGTTTAAATACATTTGCCATCCGTTCCGTTACTAATATACAGAATGCTTATAAATTTGCTTTCACTAACAAACAAAAAATAAAAAAAACGTCAGTTACTATACTATAGTTACTAAAATTATTAGATAATCTGAATATACGTCTGATTACGTCTGAAATTACGATATAGCGCTAAATTTACAGAAAATATCCACTTACAGTTGCAACAATTCAATAATCAAAACTATAAATGAAATAAAAATATTAGGTAATTTCACAATGAGGTATGTACCGACGCATTCGCTGTTCAATCGCGTTTTTAATAATAATTATTTTTTCATCAATTCAAAAATTATACGAACTTTAAATAATGTATAATTTAATTTCGAATATTTGTAATTACACGGGTTGTATACAAACTGCGCGTAGAGAAATGTGCAACCATTTCAATCGAAATAACTAAACAAAAATAGAAGTTTGATTTTTTTTTTTTTAATGCCTGCATATTTCAGGGATTTATAGTAGATATTTATTTTTGAGATTTTTAATGTAATTTCATTTCTCTAAGGTGATTTTATTAGTGATTGTTAAATCCACAGCCATTTATAGTATTGATAAAATAGTACTTATATAAAATATTATGAACTATAATAGATACGACCTATTAAGAACGTCACATCCGCATGCGCGTAGTAAAACCGGTCTAATACGTAATTGCGTGGAAATCGCTTAATTTTGATTTTAGATTATTAATGCAAATTAATAGAGTACAGTATGGAATAATATTTAGAATAACGCAAAAACGCATCGTCCGGTATATCATATTAATTCAATTATTGGCGTTTTTCAATTTAAGCGAATTTTACGTAGTCTGCTTACATGGGTATTTTCGCTGTGTTGCCCGTTAGTTGGACTGAGACGGTCGTCTAATTAAAATGTCTATTCAAATTCGGATTTTCCGATTCATGTTTAATCTATTGTACAACGACGCAGTTTTACGGATACGGTCGGGGGTTTTTTCCCCCCGCTGCTCCGGGAGTTTATAGCAAAGCGAGGAGTGGAATCAAATCAACGAATATCCGGAACAGAACAGTGTACATAAAAGGCGTTTCACGTGTTTACTCGTTGGAAAAAAAAAAAAAGAACCCGTTGGAACATTATTATTGTGATTTACCATCGAAAATTCCGCTGACATCACTGCACGTTAAAAGTGTTATCATGTATAGGTCGCGGGCGCGCACACACCGCCGCATAGAAGAAACGTGCTGTAAACATGATGTTCTCCCGACGTCTGTTTCTTCCCCTTTCTGTTTTTTTTTATCAACTATTTTTTTTTCTTATCTGCTATATGTCGAGTGCCTGTCATATTTGATACGATAGTAGTATTATTACAATAGTATATTAGGAAACACTTTTCAAAAGATTCTCTTCCCCGCAGTATACTATAGTACCTAATAGTTTTTCAAAAGCGATTTCAAAAGGTGAACAATAATAATTATATCATTTCGTACAATAAACGAGCGCGTTTCACCTATTCAAGTGCGAAGGTAGTGTGACGCGCGGGTAACTGTTAAAAAGAAAAAAAAATGAACTCGGCAAGCCATTATTACAATATTATTATAATCAAAATGAATTTTTCAGGGGTGAACTTCACTGTTTACGTGCATTTTGCAGATATTTGATTTTTTCTGCAAAATAATTTTTCCATGAGTTATAAAGCAATTTTCTTTTTCGACAGATATTATTTTTATAATATAACGAATATTGTTTTTTTTTTTTTTTTTTTAACAAGCATCAGTATACATTATATTTATTGTATAATAAACTCGTCTTTTGTTAGAAAATAAATTAATAAATTAGTTCCGACAAGAAAATTACATATATATTCTATCCCTTTCTGTCAAGAGGATTTTAAGCCGTGTGAACAATAATAATATATACGTTATAAAAATTGTTTTCGGTCTATTTTTTTTTCATTTGGTCTTGTTTTATCTGGCATTATATTAACGTACATTGAAATTTCTCGCGATCAAAATACTACATGTATACACAATACACATTCGGAGATGATTACTATCTCAAACAAAGTTCAAATATACATAGCGCGCAATTGAGACCATCGAAACCGCATGTATACAAAAAGAAAAACACTTTCTCCTCCACCGCCGTTTGACTGCTGAATACTGATAAATGATAAGTGATGTTCTATATTCACACCTTTATTCGAGTATTTTTCTTACCCGATATTCCCATGTAAAACATATCCATTGTCGTGTTCTCACACATACTCGCGCACTATTTACATTTGCCATACAATAGAGCAAACGATTTGTTTGAGTTTTTTTTTTTTTTTTCAAGACAATTGCTACTCCAACAGAGACGAAGAAATTTTTTCGTTACTAGATTTCATCGATGGCTTGATTTAATTTTAGATAACCAAAATTGACGGATTAGTTTTAAATATGAAAAGAAAAACCGTATTTAGATATTATAGGTATAATAAACAGTCGTCCGTTTTGAGAATGGATCCACAAGACCATATTTTGAGTGCCTGAACAGTTTACCGGTTCCGGGGTATCAATACATCAAAAATGCAAAGCCGTACAAATTATTATCAATCACAATAATATTATTTTCGTTGGTAGTTTTCAATAATGAACCGTAAACTATAATTCGTCTTGGCGTCTCGCCGTCAATTAACCGTATAAAGCAATCAAAAACAAATTAATATTGATCAATTGCCTTGACGAGAAAAAAACAGTTATAAAATATATATAATATAATACCATAATTGATGAATATTTATTATTATTTTAATAAAATGAATACAAAAAAAAAAACGGTTTTGTAAAACAACGAACGTAATCAAAATGTATATTTTTATTTGAAGGTTTTTCTTTAAATATTTTAAGCTCACGTGCAGTGATTATTATATATATTTTTGCTTAATCCGTTCATTTTTATTTTTCACACTATTCATCACTTCTTCTTATGACAAATAATCTTGAAGTCGAATTTAACACAAAGAAGTAAAAATATGTCCTAGAATAATGGGGATGGGTGCAGCCACAGTTATAGGTAATTTTATGTTTATCTGTTAGCAACGATTAACCATTACTAACGAAAAAACGATTCTGAGTGAAGTTCAGTTGATAGTGATGCTTTGTCAACAACATATAATATATATATATATATATGCCATATTATAGTAAATTAATTAAACAGGCATTATATATTTTCTATAATAATATTTGTTCAATGTTGTACCGATTTTCCCGTTTTTCTTACGTTTTTCCCAATTTTCCCATGTTTTTCCTGGCCTTTCACATTTGATGTTTATCAGTTATTATTTCTTTACGTCAAAACTGCTGAATGAATTAATCTGATACTTTTCATAAATCTAGTTAAAGACCAAGAATAACATATAGTATAAGTTTTATACCGAAATTCGACCCCCAAAAGGTTGCTGATACTGAGTTTTTAGTAATATTGGAACGAAAACCGAATTATGTTTGATGATTTATAGGTTACTATGACGACACAAATAAAAAAAAAACAGTTATTATTGAAGTATCACTTAAAAAATAAATTACAGGGCAATAATGGTTAACTATGATAGGTACGGGGTGGAGACGAAGAGTTACGGGGAAAACACGTTTCTATATTTCCATATATTTTTCCGTTAAATACTGTGCACGGGCAATGTCGTATATGGAACAGATAATCGTATATATTTTTATTAATTAGTAGTGTGAAGAAAATGTGTAAGTACGGATATAAATAAGTACGATAGTTAAAGCAGTGATGTGGTAGAGATTAAGTACATCAATAATATATTTTCTCATACCATTATTTATAACGTGTGCGTTTATTATGCGATGTAAACCCATATTTTTAGGGAAAAAAAAATGAAAAATAACTAATAGGTGCCTATCGATATTACGCGTGTAAAAAAAACGTCCACCGTACCTGTTTGTCTGTTATACAATGATAATATATGATGCATTTTTTTTTTTTTGGTAACTATACGCTGATAAATACCGGTTTTGCAATATGATTTATTTAAAACTCAAAGTATGAAAAGGTGAATAGCGTGAACAATAATTATGCAATTACCAAGTAAATTTGACAGGGAGCTTCTATATTTTACAGGTTCGTGCTATAAAATGTTATCACTGTATCTATATTTTATGTTTCAAAAGTACAATTTTAATCGAGACTTGTTTACGTAAAACATATATTATAAGAAAAGATAAGATATTCGGACTGATGCCTTATCATGTGTCAATCGCCGGAGAGACCTTCAGTTCCCAGCCCCACCCTGCCGGCAGAAAAAAATACTGTTATAAAATCACCGTTACCAGTCACCACTGCCGTCCATAGTTGCCGTATCACCGGTATCAAGTTATAATATACTGGATTGAGGTAGAATTGCCTATCGAGATGTACAGTATGATGCGGTCCTAATTAAAATCACCGGCCTATGTTTTTTTCAAACATTTTATAATTATCTTTTATTTATTCCGTGATCCCCCAACTACCCCTAAAAAAATAACCAGAAAAATCAACATAAATAACATTTTGATATGTTTTAAGCAATAGCTTATTAAAATAGACATCATAATCATTCTACTTATGTGAATTAAACTGAAAAATATAAATTTTCCCAAAAGAAATTCATGTATTTTTCATCCATTATAATTATGTCTAGCATGTATATTAAACATTTAAATTAACATCTATACATATTTAAGTTTATTTTTGATTATTATAACAATATTTTAGTAGGAATGAATAAATAATACAACTTCATAATTGTGTTTCTACATTTTACAACTATTATACAATTATTTCAAATTAGATACAAATTGTATTTTTATGAGTAGCTTATATTTTTACATAATATTACACAAAGTTCCGTAAAAATATCAAATGAATGCTTTTATTATTTATAATTAAATAATTGACATACGTTTAATTAAACACTAATATTTATTTAATCAACTACCTACTAATGTAATAATTTTAATTAGTCTAAAGTTTCAATGAATTGAATATTAAACTACTTTGTTGAGATACAATGTCAATCATCGATTAATTAACTCATGACCGGCTCATATTTTGAGTGGCCCGCCGAGATGTTATCATCGCTCAGCTCGCCGGCCTAATCCGGACGTGAATAATTAACATCTTAATACCTATTTGTTTTGTTTACTGTTCGTCCTTTTTTATAACCTTTTATCCAGCTCCTTCTTTGTGTCTCCTCCCTTATCCATGAGTATTGAGTATTTACTTTATTTTACTAATAGTCCGGTAACCCGACAAACGGAAATTCGAATTATTTTTGTTTTGAACACCTAAAACCAATTCCAATTAATATATATATACATGTACATGTATATGTATACTAGCCGACCCGTCACGGCTTCACCCGTGATTGGTTGTTTAATTTGCCTTTGGATAATGATATATAGAACTTTTTAATCAAATTCTATCGTTTAATAATATCGGCAAATTAATATAAAAAAAAAAAAAAACGGTTAATGAAAACGTATTGAAATGTTTCAAGCGGGATTAATGACAAATATATTTTTACTAAAAATGAATGCAGATACAAAAGAAATGCTGAGTAATTTACGGTTGATAAAGAATTTTATAAAACTTCTGAGTATATGGCGTTTTTTGTTTTATCTCCTGTTGAAATTAAAATCATAAGATGCTTCGGGTCCCCAGTTCGAGAAAATCTCACGTATAATTGTCCATGTGAAAAGCACTGTGTTCGAAGACCTACGCCAACGTACCTGTATGTTTGACCTTGAGCTTTGTGTATCGTGATTGCCAAAGAAACTTTAACAGAGAATTAAAACCGTTTGAACGGAAACGGCAAGTCCGACGGAATCACGGGAATTCTTGGAATAAATGCAATTTCTCCTTTTGCCGGCCCCGTAAGAATGACGGCTCCTATAACACTATTCTGCAACGATTTTATTTGTCATCTTGTACCGTTACATAACTTCGGTGGTTGAAGATTACGTAATAATGTAATCGGAGTACCAATTTTTAATTTTAGCTTATGGAGAGGAAATCCCGAAGGAGAAAGAGAATTGAGAAATTATTGTAGATATAAATATATAAAGATATAGATAAAGATTAATACGAATATTCGGTATACATGTTGTTTGGTGTGCGTGCGATAAACTTCTCGGAACAATTCGTACCTACACGCCGATGTCAAACACGATACAAAAAAAAGGTCAAGTTACAGGTAGCTGTAAACCCGCGACCCGCCGTGCCGCACAATATAGGTACAATTGTTTTTAATTTTTTATGAACTTTTATGAACTTTTTTACTGACAAAAGTGATACTATAACCTTCAGCAGAGTGTCGGGTTTCAGCCAAAAAAAATTTCAGCCAAATCGGTCCAGTAGTTTTCTCGGTTAGCGCGGTCGTAGAAAACCCCTTACAATTTTATATAATAGTATAGATACTGTTCACAAAATAACAAAAAAAAAAAAGTATAATTAATTGAGTTTCAGTATGCTCTTATTACTGGTTATTGTGTTATAATTATTAAATTGTGATTAATAAACTTTCATGTTTGCAAATATAGTGTTATTTTATCTACACAAAGTTGTTACTGCTGAACGCAAATTTTGTACGACATATAATGTTTGTGAGATGAAGACAGCACATGTGGGTACGACGTCCAATTAAGTCCCAAGTAAATTTCAAATTTTCTACAAATTTGCATGCACTTTTTAAGACATTTTAAAAACATTCATTTCAGATGTTTACTAAAGGTTCAACATTCGTTCGTTGTTTCCCAAAAAACCGTCTAAAAAAATTAACGGGTTTACATTTTTGTTTTGTTTTGTTTTTTTTTTTTAAATAAAATTACCGTTGATCTTAAGCTAGATTCAGTTTTAAAACTATACGGTGATTGGACTTTATGTTTTCGGTCTATCTCTTTACCTAATGCATTAAGACGGTTTGGTTTTCCGCAGTTTTTCACCTTACTATTAAGAAAATTTCAAATGCATTTTACGCTTTTTTAAGATTTTAAATAATGATTTATTTAAAGATTTTTAGTTCATAAAATACAAAGGCCTCATGTAGTATAATGATGTACTAATAATTTCGAATAATCGTCCGAGGTTACTGACCGACTGAAAACCATCAAATAAAATATACAATTTGATTTTAGATAGTGGCTTATAGTAGTAATAGTTTACGTTATTTTTCTTTCAAAAACGTACTACAGATAGAACATTATGATAGGTACTAAACAATTCGAGTTTCCTGGATGGAATATTATGATGGAACAATGAAAATTACGCTATTGTGATAACTGAAGCGGTGGGCTGTCGTGGAACAAGGACACCGGTAGGTATACGCGTATTTTACCTTATATAGGTAAAGTCGTATACCTATACTGGTAAAAGCATAATGATGAAAAGAATACCTAATACGTATAATGTTATAAATTATTAATTTTTGGTATTGTACACAGAGAGTCCCGACACACTCTACACGAGATTCGTCCGTGTCAACAGTCAACATGTAGTAAACTACAAAAAAAAAAGAATCATATTTTGATAAATATTTCCAATTAAGTATTGTATATAAAGTCGATCGTAGATACGATTAAATTTTTAAACCAATATCTATATCGGCTTGTTTGTGAGTTTCTTTACGTTTCGTACCTATATGTGTTTGTTTCATCGTCTCGTCGTCGTCACATACATACAGATTTAGTAATTTTGTTAACAAGACTAGATTTTTATTCCTCGTTACATAATACATAATATATTGATCGAGTACTATGCATAATATTGCATTGTCATTATAATATTGTTGTACTCGTCACAAGTAAAGACGACCCCCAGAAAATCGTCCCTCCTTTATAAATAAATGACATAGTGTAAAATATTATTAAACTATACAACATATTCTTCAAGTGTGAAAAAGATAGGCGATACACAAAAGTAATTTTCTCAGCATCAACATTTTTATTTAAAGATGTCGACATTGAACAATGAACAAAAATAATAATAGGAGATTAAACAACAAAAAAAAAGTAACGGAAATGTAGTACAACTGAGTAGGATGTGCAGTGAGAAATGAAAGAAAGAACAAATTGAGACGGCATGTGGAGTAAATTCGAAGATACGGAAATACGGAAGCCGGAGGGTGGGAATAAAAATAGTCGATAAAGTGATTAAAAAGCGAAGGAGAATAAAACGTCGGCCATAATATGTTATGCTATCTGAATTATATCGCGGGTTTTGTTATTTTCAATAAATAAAAAATCGTCCTAGGATAATGGGGATGGGTGCGGCCACTGATATGAGTAATTTCATGTATACCTATAAGCAACGATAAACCATTGCTTACAAAAAACGATTCTGAGCGGAGTTCAATTGACAATGATGCTTTGTCAACAATATATATGCCATATTATAATTAGTAAAATAATTAAATAGACTTTATATACTTTCTTTATTAATATGTGTTTAATATTGTACTGATTCTCCCAGTTTCCCTATATTTTTCCCGGTTTTTCAAATTTGATGAGAAAACTCCAGAGAGCATCGAAAAACGACCTCTCTAAAGTACCTTCTCAGTGAAATTTAATTTTAGAAAACTGCTATCATTATGAGTTGAAGCAAAATTGCTGGTAGAAAAGTTTTCTACGGGAAAATAAAACGTAATATTATATATATATATATATATATTTCGTACATTTTCCTGAGTTTTTTTTTTCGGTTTTTCTTATTTGATGAGAAAACTCTTAAGAAAATCGAAAAACTACCTCCTTAGAATACCTCTCCACATTGATTTCCTTTCAGAAAAGGTGCTACACATAAAAATCGAAGCAAGGTTTCTAGTATAAAAATTGTCCACAGAACAAAAAAAATAAATAATAATAAAAATCTTTGTAAAACCATAAACTTTTTCGCTCAACTCAGAATCTAAAATATTTTTGAAAAACATATACCATATATATACACACAATAACATAACATTTATATTTGTTTTTATCGATAGTTTCTATGGATAGAAAAATGTCATTTATGCGCCTTATATAAGTTTTAAATATTAATATTAATTAAATATAATACGAAATTAATATTAATTAACATTATTAACTCGATGAGTTCGGTGTTTACTAACGCGGTCAAAATCAAAAAATACATACTAGTTGCGATCACTCAACTATTATTGGTTTACATATATAATAAGGGCGGAATAATAGATATCCATTACTTTTTTGTATTGCCATATTATATTTCATTTATATTATTTTATTGACAACGATTTATTAATCAACGTTCTATTTTTCATTAATATCTCAAAAATAATATACTTGGATTGTCTACACTTTTATTTATTGTGTAGGTATAGTAAAAATATTGATTTTTTTTTTCTGAAAAAGTATTACAAATTTAAAATGTAAACGTATTTGAAACACCCACTATTATGTTGTATTTAAAATTCTGCAGACATAAATTTGAAAGAAATCGACTTCAAATACTCAAGCCGATTAATTCCCAACTGTGTACAAATAAGTAGCGGTATTTCCACATATATGTTATGCTATTCCATACATGTATTAAAATATGTTTATAGAATTATTCGGATATTTTAACGCGTTACCGCAATTCGGATATACACATACACTGTAAATGAAATAACCGCAACTCGTATGCTATCTGTTTATCATAAAAATCGCCAATGACTACAACTCGTATTATGCAACTGATTAGTCTCTCCTGGTAGTCCGACTAAAAAGTGGCCATCCAACCCCATTTAAAAATCGTAATAATTTTCCCGGAGGAAATAACGCTACAAAAAATCACCATTAGGTATTATTCGCCAGAAATGATGTCTGGTATTTTGTTTATATTATAATAGTAAAATAATATTATTTTCTTATCTCCGGCATCACTAATCACTTAAATTCCTAAGAGATACTTAACTATATACAAACATTTAGGACTATATTTATGTGCCTATATCTAATGTTAATATATTTTTTACACTCTTCTTTATTCTTATCTTACAGTTATGTATTATAATATTGTTAAACGATTTATCAAATGTATTATCTAGTTAAGTCGAAATTCCTGTAGCCAATGGCCCAAGCCGCCGAGGCAGATAAAGTCAATTATAAAAAAACTTACAATTATATTATAGTATAACAATAATATCAGCTAACAGTTAATGTTTTTCTGTCCTTTTTAAAATGGATAATCTGTGTAGTATTTGCAATATGTTTGGTGTAAAATAATCACACCGACGTAAAATTGCACATGTAAATTATTTGTAATAATTGTTTCTAAGTTAGATATAAACAAATATACAGACCAACAAATAAAAGTTTTAAACAATGATATTAAGTTAACATCTATAGTATTTTTCTTTTCATTTCTGCATATCCTGCGAAAAAATCCTTCGCACGCCTATGCCTGTGTCTTACATCGCGCGAATCTATGCCAAAAATAATCCCCTCATCATCAGTGTTAAAAATCTAGTCAGTTTTTCTAGAAGAGAGGACATTTTTATGTTAACTATCTATATAATATACAAATTTAATTGATATTTCCTAACCGCTTTATCATCGATCGGCCCGAACAGCTGCAGGGTTTAAAAAAAATCGAAATTTAGCACAGAGAATTATTATATGTCGTATAATGATAATATATACAATTATCAGATACTATTACTATCATAATTTTTTTTAATCAGCCAAAAACCTATAATATTATTTCAAAATACTCTTCAAAATTTTACCGCCCGGGACCCTATCCCCCTCTGCTTACCTAAATACGTCACTGCACGTGCGTCCAAGGTTTATATCGATATATCTTTTACGTGGTATACGTTCAGTATTCATTTATTATATTTTTTTTTGTCAAATAAATTATTTTATCAATTTATATAAGGACAATATGTTGGCGTTCGCTGACGCTGACGACGACGTCATGCCGACAATAATAATACCGCAGTTATATAGTATGTATAACGTCTGAGAGGCATGTCCATTGTTGGCACAAACGCCATAGCATTCGTGTCGCATAAGAGTTGCACGGTTATAGATGGCTTTTTGGTTTACCTATATGTGTGTGTTGTGTGTGTTGGTACTACAACGACAGTCAAGTACACGATTTTATTTTGACCAGAGCCTCGAACAAATAATATTATTATTTATGGCACAATGCGAACAAATTTCAAACCACATCCGCGGACGCCGCTACCGCATTTATAATAATTTCATAGTTTTATAATAATGTATACAAATATCTTAAACGAACATCGTTCCGCAATAATTCTTTTCGATATTATACAGTATAAGTCTTATTGATTTGTTGTGGAAGTCGGGACTCGTTTGGCATCAATTCTCGTTAAAAATTCACTGTTTTACTGAGAAATTATCGTAATATTATGGAAAATTCGTTTGGTATTTTCTCTGGCTTTTTCCTACATGATTTAAAAAAAAAAAAAAAAAAACAGTAATTTCTATCCCGCAAACGTCGCGTTCGACGTGCGGATATAATGAACATTTTTTTTTCTATCTATATACCCGTGGACAATAACAATAATAGTGCGACGTTGTTATATACGCGAACACGGGGGAGGAGTTACTCCATTGTTTCGTATAGGTAAAACAAAATAATAATAAAAAACAACTACTATAGCCTATAGTTACTACAGTGGGTGTACGACGTACACTGTACGTATCACATCATAACCTAACCGCGGTATGTACAGTGAGATGTTTTAGTTTTGTTGTACAATAATATTATACCGGACGAAACGTGAAAAATATTTAGTAAAAAGATATGCCGCAGATAATGATGAAAATCGGAGAGTTCTAGATTCATCGTAAAAAAATACACACGACAGTTTTTTTTTTTTTTATCGTGGTATAGGTAATAATAAAATTATATTATTCGAGAGTGCCGGTGGGCTACCCTCAAAACATCAAAATAGAACTGTGAAGTTTCGGACGGGGTAAAATAAGAACAAATATTGATAAGCCCTCCACCCTTTCAAAATTTTATTTGAAAATTGCTCTTGTTTGGCGTTTCAAGTGTGAAAGACTCGTACAGGTTAGGTGAGGAAGCGTGGAGTTTTATTAAATACAGGGTGCAGCGTAATGGATTGTGATGAATTCTAAAAAATAACGGTACAATTTATTATGAATAAATTTTTATTTATTGAAAGTATGTACATATTATACTACCTACCAGTTTTTTTTTTTTTTTTTTTTTTAAAAAATTAGGATATTAAACTTATATCTTCCAAATATTGATCTTTGCAGATGATGCACATATTATGGAGCCGTTTGGAAGTTTTCCAACACTCTTTTTGAATTGCCTCCTCGGTGCACTATTGTCTCTTGGTAACTCTCGGTCAACTTCTATGATGGTACCATACGAATACCTTATAAACTTCCAGGAACTGCTCTATATTTGCACTGTACATCAATATTAACATTTGAAAGATATAATTTCTTATGCTTACCTAATTAAAAAAAAAAAAAAAACATAAATTACAGTACATACCAGGTGATTCATTTAAGATGGGTACACTTATTATCTCGGAAAGTATTGACTTTTTTGGGGATTATTTTTTTAGAATATTTAAAAAACAAGATGCTCCACAGTTTTATATTTGTGTTATTTTTTGTCGCCCTTATTTTTGGGAGTAAAACAACTACTTACTTTTGATTTTTAAATGACAACCTGTTTAAAAAGTCCATAAATAGATTGAGTATTAGTTAAAATAAATTCCAGTGTTAAAATTTTTTATTTCTGTCAAGCCGTTGACGAGATATTTTACTTTTAATTTTTGGTTGGAGGAGAGTAGTGGTGCATTATTAACAAGCTGCGCGCCGTACAGCTACACTAATGATTCTCCACCACTTTCCTTCAAGGGTGACAAAAAATAACACAAATAAAAAATTGCGGAACATCTTGTTCTTTAAATATTCTAGAAAACAAATGCTGGAAAAAGTTAGTACTTTCCGAGATAATGAGTGTACACACTTAAATGAATCACCTGGTGCTTCCAAAAAATAAACTCTTTGTTTTTCATATTTTGTACATGTTTGTTTTCTAGTATTTACCTCAGGAATGAAGGAGTCTATTACGCTGCACCCGTGTACCTTATGTTTAATTTTTTCGAAAACTCGTTTGTTTGTTTTTACCATATTTTAAAGTTTGTGATTATCACTATTTATTTACCGTCACTACTGCGTCAATTCATTTTGCAGTTACTATTGAGCACGCCGTAAGATATTTCTTATCAATTAAAAGAAAGACACTTCGTGGGGTATTTGACCCTTCTCGTTATCGCGCCTCGTTGTGTAACCAGTATAATATTATCTTTAATCGTCCTATATAAATTATTATTTTATGGGCAGTAGACCATAGGCACGCGCAGACTTTTTCCACAGGGGATGCATATTTCAAAATAGACGAATTTTTAATTATATACCTTTATAAAGACATAAATCAGAATTTTTTTTTGAAAATTATTTTTATACAACTATAAAGTTCACAACAATAGTCAATATGTACTATAGTAAAAGTTATAATAGTATAGATTATTTTTGCGTGAATGTCAAAAATAATCAGATTGCTCTGTGGTTATTGGTTATTCGCAACTCTACAAGGTAACGTGAAAAGTTACGCGACCGGCGTCGATGTGAAATCCTGATTCTTAACTCTTATTATCACTAAAATGTACTTGATGAAAATCACGATTAAAGATATTTTATCTATATAGCCATGATGAAAATTAGAAAAAAAAAAACAGCGCAAGTCAACTGTCAAAATTTTTTAACTGATTACTGTTTACAACAAGATTTACAAAATACCTCACTAAATAGTAATAAAAGAACAAAAACTGCTCCACTGACCGTAAGAGATGCCGTGGCATACTCAGCATCCCCCCTGCGCACGCCTATCACGGCAGTAACACGATCATTTTTACTGTGCGGCGGGGAAGAAACAAAAACAAAAAAAAAAAATACCATCAGTTATTGTTGTCGTCGTCGTAATACGCTATTATAATACGTACCTAGCTATTATAATACACAGACGAAATGCACACGCACGCCGATCTCACCCCGTATATCATACACTATAATATAATATAGGTATACCAGCGTATTTATAATACACCACACGTTATGTATACGTATAAATAAATTTGTATGTGTAATTTTTTTTTTTTTCTATATAATAAGACCGGATAGTCATTATACGCTGGTGCATGCGCGTGCGAGCGTATTTCACTTAATACGAGACGTGTAAAATGTTATTATAGAAGGGCTCCGCGTTCAAAGTCTCGACCTTATACGGCGCGGAGGCGTGTAAAAACGATGCCGCCACCGCCGACGTGAAACTATACGTAAATGGAATTATTATGTACACCCGTTCGTATTATAGGTACCTATACAATATAATAATAATACTAATATTGTGTAACGTCTTCGTTCGTCACCGTCGCGCCATTATCTATAGCTGGCATAAGTTTATAATAATGTTTAATTTTTTCTCTTTCTCTCTCTCTCTCTCTCTCTCTCTCTCTCTCTCTCCGAACCGTGGTGTTTTTTCGGACGACGACGGCGTCTTGTGTCGAGGAGGACACACACACGCCTATATTATATATTATACGACCTACGTACACAATATTATTGACGACGACTTTTTAGCGTCGTCCCACGCGCGGTGCGATCGCGGTGGAAGGTACCCGAAACACTCCTTTATACGGCGTGCAGTGTACGGCGCATCACTCTCCGTTTTGCAGGCCCGGCGAACGTAACGGAGCAGAAACGAAAACAATATTACGCTCGTAGTTTTTCGGTTGGTCTTTATTAGATTTCGTGCGCGCAGTCATGAATATGATTGATTTTACACCGTTGTTTATTTATTCATTTTTTTTTTATCTGTGAACAACTTTTCTTCTAGACATTTCGCTCCGGTTTCCAAGTGTGGCGCTTTTTTACTGAAAGGAAATCGGTGTGTGGAAGTACTTTAAAGAGGTCATTTTTCTCAACGTTTTCTCATCAAATGTGAAAAACCGAAAAAAAAAAGGAGGAAACATGGGAAAATGTACGAAATTATTATTAAGTATTAGTTGAACAAAATATTTCAGAATTCTTTTTTCTCATGAACAATTTTCCCACCAGCAATTTCGGAAAATTGACTGGGGTGGTACCTTAAGCAGGTCATTTTTATTTACTTAAAAATATTCGCAGGGCCTTGAAATTCTGATAGGAAACTTATAATAGCCTTTTATAGACGTGGTCAAATTATCAAAATATTATAAAAATATTTTTGATCTATTTATAGGCACTATTAATTATCTAGTTATTTTACGTAGTTTTTCTTTACTAGGTACTATATGAGTAAAATATCGTTAGACCAAAAAGGAATTCTTGAAAATTTAACTTTAGGATCATTAATATAAATTTTACTTGGTGGTTAAAAAAAAAAAACTGAGAGCAATGTAGTAGATTTGTATAATTGTTTTAAGGTCAAATCGTAAAGGGCATTTAACAATATCTATAACTGAACTTCGTTCAGAATCGTATTTTGCTAACGATTTATTTTTGCTTACAAATAAAAATTAAATAACTTTACATGTATCATTTCTTTCCGACTTCCAACCTACAACAGTGGCGCACCCATCAGCAGCGTATCAGCTTTTTTAGATTTCGAGCATAGCGAGAGAGCTATTGGTTTTACTAAGATGTTTATTTGTTTCTCCTTGTTTCAGTCTGTGGATACGTTTTTTCTTAGTAAAGTTGCTCCGATTTTTACGTGCAGCAACTTTTTTGCTACTTGTGCTTTGCAAGCTCAAGTTGTCTAGATGGTACTTTAAAGAGATTATTTGATTTTTGACACCATTTTTTTAAATAAAAGATTTCAGGATTTTAATTTTTGGGAGTATTTTTACTTTAACTCGGTTATAAATACATGTATAGACTTGAAACTTAGTAATAATACTTATATTAGACTTACCTAGACGTGGTAAAATTTTCAAAATCATCGGACTTTATTTTTTTTTTTTGTACTGTAGACCACTTTTATTCTAGAAAACTCGCTCCGATGTATAAGTGTAACACCTTTTCTGAAAGTCAATTTTATCTACTTGGTAAATACATAGGTAATTTTTTGATTTTCGGAACGGTATTTAAAATAAAAAGGACTAACTGGGAAAAAAAACGATTTTTTCACGATTTCGTTATTTTGAATAAGTACCTACCACATTTTCTAGCACAAATATGCCACAGTGACAACACTCATTTCATATATCAGCTTTTTTTTTTACTTCATATGTTTGCCACAAAAATTGACACATTTTTATCGGATTATCAATACTTACATATTGTAATGCAATCAATAATGCTTAAAAAAACATTTTCTACTCGAAAAAAAAAATAAACGAACAATAGCATAAAAATAAGATTTAAATATATACCTACACATCTTATTCAAACAGCTCTAGCCGATACATAAATTAACTTGTTAATTTAAATTGTAATTTATAGTAATACATTTTTTTTTTTTAGACATTTAAATTCAAACTGTTGACAAAAATGCGTTAAAAATAAGAACAAAAAATTAATGCAATTTTCAATTTAAATTTATCAATAAATATTAAATATTTAACCACGAATTCTGCTCTGGATCGTTTTCGTTTGCAAGAGTTTGTATTGCTGCTCACTCATATTTTATAAAATTAATTTCCCCGTAATCTGTATTATAACCTCTTACCTCTCTATCCCACATTTTTTTCCTTCTTCTATCGTTTTAGTTCGAGTCGTAATAACTGTTATAGCTAACGCAATAAGAACTGAATTAACCGTAAACATGTAATCATATATTATCCTGTGCGACTGAACCGCAGTCGATTTATGCCACTGCACGTGCCCCACTGCGGTTGTTGTCCGGAACGAGAATAAGTAATGTGCACCTATTATTAATAAAAAAAGGAAAAAAAAAACGAGAAAGAAAAATATCCTCTTTGTCGGGCTTGTGACGTGTATAATACGAAACGCGTTGGTGATGTTAATTATTATTAGTTCGAGCACGGTTGATATAAAATTAAATAATATCACGTCGTTAAACGTATTATAATATTATATACAGTTTTTATAAAAAAATAAGAGGAACAATGTGGTATCCATTTAACCATAAATAAATTGTAAAGAAAAATGCCTGAAACACGCCGTATCATTTGATTGTCTATTATACTATACTACTATACTCAGTGGTAAAAAAAAGTGATAACTTATGAATACAAAATAAATTTCCATATCATTCGCATTTTTAAATGATTTTTATCATAAATCGGAACTTTGTCGTATACACATTTTAAAAATTAAAAAATCACGTTGGTATTTTACGAAGTAAAAGTTTGTATCAAATTTTCGAACGAGCGTTCGTTTTATAAATTGTTATGTGTATAAAACTAAAAAAACTAAAATAGTCAAGAATTTCAAGTAATTATAAATGATAGATAATAGATGAAAACAATCAATAAATCAAATCACTCTAACTAATACATGGTATTAATCTTAAATTGTTTTATGAAATAAAATGTGTGTCCCCTGAAATCTTATGTATTTAGGCCCTAAAAGAAAGCTCACATCACATTGGATTTTTGAGCATATTTAGGAGTAAATGGGGGAGGTGTGACTTTGATCCCCTGGATCCACCGCAATCGTATAGACAATATTATGTTCATAGTATTATTATAATAATGCACATTAAAGGCAATTGTATGTACGGTTGTGGTTGTGGTACCCGCAGAAATATAAACTGAAGGGGCAAAAGTCAAAAGTATAAGACTTTTTTCACTACAAGTAATCATAACTTAAATATTTAAGCCGTGTAAATAACAAAAAAATTAATATTTAATATTAACTAAAATAGCGGGGGGGTCATGGCCTCCACCGACACCCCTCTGCGGGTGCCTTTGAGTTTGTTATTCTTAAGATCACTTTAAATTACTATACAGTTCAATACTCAATAATATTTAATAGTCCATTTAATACGATCCAAATACTTCTTATGCAGGATTTACATTTAAGTAACAACATTACATTTGAAACCATTGTAGAAGCATAGGAACCAGTTTTCATTTGGAATGCAATATAATAATAAACATAATATTATCATCTATCAAAGATAAAATCAAGACATTTTCTAACATGCTAATATACTAGAGCTGCGTACTATACCAGTTGCTAAACAACTTTTTGTCAGCTCGCAAAAAAAACATTAGGAGTCACCTGCAGGGGTAGATTGGAATACAGATTCATGCCGAGAAATTTGTACGTATGCCGACCATTCACCATTCACCATTCAATTTGAAAAAAATTGTTTTTCATAAAAGACATAATATATAATACAGTGTGTATTATAGTGTGTCCAGAATTCTATGTTACAGCAATTTCTTCTATACATATACAAAATAGAGAATAATGTATGATGAAATATTTTTATTAAATAATGGAGTCTAAAATTATATGAGAGAATAATAAATTTTAGTCATTCTTGGGGGGGGGGGGAATTTGCCATTTGAAATTGATGCATGCTTCAGAGTCGGTAAATCGTCTGAAATTTGTAAACAAAAACAACATATTTTTTCTTTCTTTCATTATATTTCACATATTCATAGTAACATAAGGCAGGATATTAAATTGAAGGATGTGTTTTCTAGATGAATCTATGCTAGATTACTTTTATTTACTATCGCGTTCAGTTCATTTAAGATATAGATTGAGCTACAAAGCGTGATTGGGTTCAGTTAGTAATATATTGTTGTTTTTTAACGGACAAATAATATTAAAAAATTAATTATAGTCACTAGACATATAATATATTATAATAGTTTTTTATAATGACGTTATACTCACCGTTTCAAAGATGACGTTTTGTCGTATTAAAGTTATACCTAAATTATGAGAAAAATAATTCAGTATAAATAATAAGCGTTCGAACACATAGTCCTTCACGTAAAAATGTTAAGAAAATTATGGTTCAACTTGAAGATTACTAGTGGTACCTGTGACTTTTCACTTCATTACTTGACAGAAACATTAGCCGGCCATAGATGTTTCCAAACGTCTATAAAATGAATATGGCCCAAAACCACCACTGTTTTTCTATGTGATTGCGATTACGATACTACCGAAAATACTCTTGGGTCGAAGAGAAAAGAAATATCAGAAGGAGAGCCTGGATTATAGCGTCTGCCCAGCGCTTGGAGGAACATGCTTTCCTCGGTCGAAAACATCCCGTAATGAAAGGAAGACCTAGAGCGGACTAAGTCAGTGGAGGAAAAACGATTGTAGAGGATTTTGTAGGGGTATAACAAGAGCCGATTCACTATATCTCAGCTCTTTTCCCTACGAAGCTGTGCTTTTCTGTCATTGTTATTGTTTTGTTATTACCTAATAAACGATTAGGACTGAAAGAAAGAAATGAGAACCTATTGTTTTCCTTCGGTCCATGGTTTAAACGAAAAAAAAAATATATTTTACTTATTATACTGTCTGTACTTTTTTCACTGTAGGTACTATAAGTTTTCAATATTTTTTCGGAAGAAGACCCTTTTTTTATCGTCTAACGACTTCCATCGCTGAGAGTTTCATTTCGACCGATGGCTATTTTTTTAATAGTCTATTCAGTAATCGGTAACGTTATTTTATAATTTCTATTTTAAATCTCCGAACCGAGTTCGCTGCCACGACGGGTAATGGGTATACAATATACATAATATAAGTATATCTACTTAAGTGCGCAATATGCTATCTAATTAATTTGTATTCAACTCGTAGCTCATCCGGAATCACACACTTGTACACACATATGGAACTCACGAACATGTAGTAAAAACATAAAAGACCGTTTTCGTATAATATATATATTTTTATTTTTTTACTTAAAACAGACGTCGGCAATACAAAAACGAATAAATAATCGCATAAAAGCCGTTTAAAATTTCGGGAAGGTTAGGATAAGACTGAATAAAATATCCATGTATCGTCACATCCATTTTACAAAAGTTTAAATTAATTCATGCGTGACTTTTAACCGTTATAAAGTATCAACAATACTGTAAGTTAATTGCAATTAATAGATACTGATTGGATCGGGTACTTATGTCTGAGCGACTGTGCCTACATTTTCAGTTATTATAGCTAATTCATCCAAAAACATTCACACACGCCGTATAATATCTAACTTGAAAGATTATATGGATGTTCGGAGCCTAAGAAATTATTCAGATACTTTTAGTTTGAAAGGTTTTACCGATATTCTGGATCGGGTTTTATGAAAAATTAAAAAAAAGAAACTGAAACCGTTAAGGTAAAAATCTATAAATAGCATGCATGATTATAGATATAAATGGCTATACTCAATGAGTGAAATGATAAGGTGGTTCCCCAAATGTCTTCATGTTATTAGAATTATAGAGTGGTGCGTTGATAGAGGCAATCTACAAGCAATTTATCAGAACAGTTCTAGGATTTAAATCAAGGTGGATTAATCTACTTAGATTTATAATATGATAATTTATTATTTTATTACTCTTATACATTTTACTTTTATAGGAGCACATCGACTAATTTTGTAAAAAAGAACATTTGGGTTCAACGAGTTATTTTTATATTATTACGGCCTGTCATAACAAGTAAAGATCTGCCACATTGAACATGTTATTTGATAGATCACGAAGGCAAATTATTGCACAAATACAAAATAAGATTTTGTTCGAAAAAGAAAAAAAATGTTTTGTCAAAATATAAACAGTAACTATAAATAATATTCATATACACAATACTGCAGCAACTCTTAAGTTGTTGTATACCTACCTGGAGTCCTGTAAATTGTTTATAAATAATAATAAAATACGTCACGAAGACGAAATATTACAATACCGAATGTTCCGCGTTATTATAATGTTAAGGAACGTTTATTTTTGTTTCCCTTAAACAAAAAAAATCTATTATTATTTCACAAAAAGAAAAAAATATATATAATAATAATATTATCAAATTAACCCCGAATAAAATTTAAAACGCTTATAGATATAGCAATAATAAACGCATCGTATAGTATACGATCATTAACCACGAATCGGCCGGGTAGGCACTTAAAAAATTATTCTAATAAATTTCAAAAGCACTTGCAGTATTTACTTAACCGTAAAGACGTGGTTCGCTCCCTTGCCTACGTTAATTGGTTGGAATCAATGCGTGAACGAATTTCATTCGAGTCCGAGAGAAAATGTTAATTTAATTATATAATAACGGTCTTTGTGTTAGATACGTCGGTATAGGTACGTAGCCGTAGGTACAAAGTTATAATAACGTCTATATAATATTATAAAATTGCGGACGATTTGCAATTTAGATCGAAGAATTCCAGTAGTTTTTTTTTTAAGAGAAAAAAAAGATTTGCAGTGCTTCAGTCCGCAGTAATCATACGACCGTAGTATAATACGATGTTTTTTCTTTATAGAAAATGTAAAAATACATTTTTCTTTATATAATATGTGTTATTGTTATAATTCAATAAATGTATAATAACTAGTTGGTAAATCGTTTAAAATGTCTTAACATTTTCAATAACAATTGGCGATTACACAAACAAACTACAAACCGATCACTCTGGTGAATGTAAATCAATTTATCATTCTAACCAACTACATTATGAATCTATAAGTGTCAGAATTATTTGGTTAGTTTGATAAACGTTTATCTTTACACTGCGCATGATAAAATAAACATTAATAAAACAAAAAAAATACCTATACTTACATTATACATTTTTCATTAAAAATCGTCGTTTGTAATATGATTTAGATTAGTGTTATTATTAATATAATCTTATTACCTATATATTAAGTATTACGATAAAATAGTAATACCTATATTAAAAAAAAAAAAAACTGAACGCTTCATCATCATAATATTGCTAATGCAATATTACACAAACCATTTTCGTTTGTAGGTAACCTATAAGAACGAATTATAAACGATATGAAATAAACAATAATATTATTAATAAACGTGTATCTACCTAAATTAAAGTGCTCACAGACCAGAGCGGTAACAATTGATTGATGGGACAATTAAATTGGGTCCCAAATACAGGTAATCGATATTTTACCCTTCAAAAATACTTTTGAATAGGCTCCTCTCACGAATTTACTATTTAATTGGCTCCTTCTACGCCTTTTTTTTTTTTTAAAGATATATTGGTTACCAAAATGTTATTAATTATTTATGAGTTTAGTATGAAAAAGGTTTTCCACTACATACGTATACATGTACGTGCATACAAATTCTTTGCTGCGATTCGTTGATTAGTTAGTAACAATGGTAAACTTTTGGTGCACCAGTGTTTATACGTTTAGTGGAAACGAAAATTTGTTTTCATACATTTAAATTAAAGGGCTCATTTAGAGATATAATTAAAGCGAAAATTTTCGTGACAGTAAAATTTTTCCGCGAGAAGTGCTGCGACATTTTTTTTCGATGCATGCACTTTTATCTCACTTACTGTCTCGATAATGTGTATTTATAAACTAAAAATTGTAGCCAGTTAACGATTATATTATATATGACGGAATATTGTGGAATATACCATATTATCAGGATTTTTGTCATATTGATCATTTAATATTTATCTTGATATTCGAAGTATATAAATTATACATAGGTGATTTGATAAATGTTCTGAAAATGATAATTTTATAAGTACGTATATAAGTACTCGGTGTATTGGTAATATTCATCAGAGACTGTTCGTTACAACTTGCAAGTATCTATGAACGTTACGTTAACGTCAATTTACACGTATTTGTACTTATAATAAAAAAAAGGAACATCGTGACAAACTATAAAAAAAAAATGGCAGCGAATATCCATAATACGAGAATATTTAAAGATAACAAAGAGTATCTAGCAAGTCATGTGTGGTTAATATAAAATATACACTTATACGACTATACGTGGTTCGTGTATAATTGTTATTAAACGTGTAAACAAGATAAAAATGAATTATATAAGGCATATAATTATTAAGACCATGCGATTTTCGATGCAATATTTCGCTTTGGTTAGATTAGATCAACGGTTTATTTCGCTCCTCTACCGCAGAAACATCACTACTATTACCGATGACGCTCTGATTTGTAAGCACCTTTATGGAAAAAAATTGAAATCGTTTTTTTATTAAAATTCAAATGAACAGACCATATAAATAATTTGTGTGTATTAAAATATACCCACTTAAATGCACCTATGTAGTCATCGCTTCCTTATATGTTCACTTAAAATAATTATTGTGTATATAATTATTTTAATACACCTACCTATATAATATAACTACATATATGTATACCGACTTCGGCGCGACCGTGCCAACTGCTAATATTATTATATTATTATTTATTCGATTTCTAATTGGTAAGTTTTTCGATAAGATATCGTTTTCATACCTGAAAGAGGGCAAGGATAGCAAACGTAATCAATGGATTTCTATATAGTCTCTTGTTTTCCCTGCGTGTCAACTAGTTTGATAACCCTTTTTTTAAACTTAAAAATTCCATAGTTTTATAGTTTAAATAATAAAAAACAAGTTAAATATTAGGTACATTATTAAACAATTTAAATATATTAGATACTAAAAGTATAAATAACACGTAAGTATGTTAAACACAATCTTAATTTATAAAAAATATTGAAATATTAAAATACAAAATTATTATACATGTTTTTTTAATGAGAAATTTGTTGCTGCATTTTATTAGCTAATGAATCAATCCTCGCACTGAAATTATTTGATTTCAGTTGAACACATGCTTCACTTAAATCTGTTCCAAGACGTTTCCGTATAGTTGACTTAATTTAATTCATCGAAGAAAATAGCTGCTCACACACATAAGTAGATCCAAACATTGTTAATAAAGAAAAAGTTAGTTTTTCATAAATGTAAATGAATTTGGAAGACTTTTCCACTCAATAATAATCAAATTGTCCGATTTAATATTCCTACCTATTTCACCATGATTATTTCCCAGCTCATTATTCAAATTAATAAATTTATTTCTCCAAATATTACTTCCCTGAAATTCTATTAACTCTATTTCTAAATTTTCAATACTTAACCACTCCAAAAAAATCTAAGTTCATCAAATTTAATATTATTTGAATTAATTAAAAATTCTAAAGTTGAGTTTAGATGGCAAAATTGAAAAAATCTGCTTAAAAATAATTCGTATGTATTTTTTAATATTTTTACATATTTAGTTATTATTAATTTCATATTAAGCTGATTATCTTTAAAATGTTTTGAATTTATTAATCGCTTTTTCAAACAAGGTAAATATTTAAATTTTTCATTTTTCAGATCTTTTCAATAACTTTAATGTTTTTAAACATAGTTAAAACTGTTTGACCTCGGCGTTGGAGTTTTTTTAAATTTAAATCATTATAAATTGCAGTCTAATCTGTAAGAAACATCTATTCATTCAACCAATTTAAATCAGTAAACTCTGGGTAATATTGATTTATCAGACAAAAATAAACGTACTTCTTCCAGTAATTCAACAAATCGATGAAGAACTTGCTCGCGACGTAATTAATGAACACTATTATACATAAGAAGGTCAGAGTAATGAGGCTCTACCTCTTCTAATAATTTGGCAAACTGTCGCTTGTTTAGGGCTCAAGATGTTATGCAATTGACAATTTTTGTAACAATTTCCATTACTTTTTGAAACGATTTCATACTATCTTTTGCACCCAATGCTTCTTAGTGTATAATATAGTGAAAGTTGATTATATGATACAAAATGTCACTGGAAAAAAGTTGAATAAATCAATGTTAGCAACTATATTTGGAGCACCGTCAGTAGTAATTGAAACGATATTTTGAATATTGATTTTTAAATTTGTAAACTCTTTATGTATTTCATTCATAATATCATGACCAATTTTTTAACTAGACATTTGTATTAATTTTATTAATTATTCTTTCATGATTTAAACGAGCCTGAGAAGTTACATCTGTACTTTCATCTAGACAAATCGAAAAATGTTTGCTGAAGCTAAAACAGTTTGAAACTGATTTTATACATCACCACTCATACATATAATTCGTTCCTTAACAGTATTTCTACTAATAGGTAAATCTTGAATACGTTTTATTATTTCATTTTAATTCGCGAAATCTTGAAATAAAATTTTGATGTCACTAAAAAAACTTCTTTTATGTATTATCCATCTGAAACTGGTTTACCATGCTGTGCCAATGTTATCATTGACGAAAACCTGGTTCCGTAGGTTAAAAAAGATTGAAAGATTAAAAATAAGATTGTCATTGGCAACCGTTTTTATTTATTTTTTTTTATTATAAAGTTGGGTACTCTCCCATTAATTGCCTCCTAAATTCAGGTAGGTAATCTTTTTTCACTCGAATTTTCTCCGGGTATTTTCGGAGGCAATTCGAGCATACTCTAACTGTCCACTCGAATTGCCAACCGTAGGATACCTAGATTATTAATTAATAGTTAATAGTCGATAGTTGACGTGTACTATTGATTATTATGTTGATTTCCGTAATGTTCAAAAATAAAACTTAATTGATAAATTAAATAGAAATTAAATTTCAAAATTTCAATATTTAAAAGTATTATTTAAATTTAAACCTCAGAAAATACAACATAACTAATTTAAATTTAAAATTTTGGCTATAAAACATAATGATATTTATTTATTGATTGTTTAATATTTTTTATTATTGTTAATTACTGTTCTATTGATATTGTAAAACATAATGCTATATCATCTAAATTATTGTTTTTGTTCATTTTTAATACGTGAAATTTTGATACAATACATATATACCTATTTGATTTTTTGACATTGGCTTATTACTTAATACAGCGTACTAATGTTTACTAATGACATGTATGCTGCATATGTCGTGCATTATAAGGATTCTTAATCTAAAATAGGAGGCGATTCGAGTGAATGGTATTTTTGAAATCGCGGGGCAACTCGAGTAACCTTTTTAAAAAAAAAAATTCACGGAAAGCGATTCGCGTGTGCCCATTCATTTTTTATTATTTTAATCTTTTCTGAACAATTATTGTTGTCATGGAAACGCACATAGTAATAATTTTATCATACTATGACATATATATTGTTGACAACATTATCAACTGAACTCTGCTCAGAATTGTTTTTTCATTAGCAATGGTTTATCGTTGCTTACAGATACACATTAAATTCCCGTCTGTATATTACTTTCCCAACTTCCAACCTATAACAGTGATTGCATCTATGTGCGAAGTAATTTGTCCTTTTTTTTTCTTTATGTATTATATTTTTGAAAAATATTAAACTGTGTATAATAATCAAAAATGTTCCGAATATGCAAAAATATGCAAAATCATTGCAACTCAATTATGAATCATAATTATTCGTTGTCATGATTTATAGTTTAGACCGCAGGTATAAATATAATATTTAATATGTACAATTAACGATCTCGTCGAAATATATTTCGTTATACGAACGAAACATAATGACCGATTTGATAAATTTTACTGGACGATTCCAATAAAAAGAAATGGTGTATCGTAATCACGATTTTAGGTAAATATCTACCACAATTCTAGTTTGACGGGTAATAGGTGTAAGTAAACAAAAATCTAAAAACTAATTACTACTACTGTAATTTTCAAGGGTCGATAAAAAAAAAAACAATTAAATATTGCAATTTTTAATTCGTAATTATTATACTACTTTAATTAACAGAGTCAAAGAGTGTCGGCAAATACTTGGGGGTGTTGTATACGCCGATAACTTCAACGTAACACAACACAAAATAATAAATACAGTGAAAAAGGTGAAACTTTAATACAGTTGTCCAATAGCGTCACACGATCACCATAGAAGACCTCGTTTTTTACTTTTTCTCCCCTTTTTATGTTACATTTTCCCTTTTTATTAATAACAATTTTATTCTACTTAAAGTTACTGACTCAACAAAAAATATTAAAATATGTTTATACTTCTATTGCTCCGACTATCGGTGTTAAATAATTGTTAATTATTTCGACATCAAGTTAATGGAAACATGTTTGTACAATTTAGAATTAACCTAATTAATCTAAATATTGCCTAATACTACAGGGAAAAAGAATGGAAATAATATTATAATTACGTTTGGCTTTATTTAGCCACAATCGAGTTTCGTTCTATTCAAGATGCGTGTAAACTGCAATTGCGCTTGTAATGTATATAATCCCCTCTTGTGAATCAGGCGAGAAAACGATCTCATATAATTAGTTTTTCCACTGAGTTTTCACCGGGCCGTGATCGTCTAGTGGTTAGGACCTTGCGTTGTGGCCGCAATAACCCAGGTTCGAATCCTGGTCACGGCACAAAATTTTTTGCAGAAAATCTCGATAACAAGAAAGGAAAACCGTCGTCGTCACGGTCCGCGTGATTTTCTCCCATTTATTTAATATTATGAAAACGCTACACTAGACGCGGCCGTGGCCGTCCGGACCAAGTCTATTCTCATTCAGCTTAGACTATATTATTTCGATCAAATTTTTTTTCGCTACATTATTATTACAAAAGAAATTATCCATCTTTTAATTTAAGTAAAATATTGAAAGTAAAAATATTATATCAAACCCATAGACATTTTTATTTTTTTTTTACATTATTAATAACATTATAATTATCTAGTAAAGTAAATAATTTTTCCAAAAAACGTAATGAATTTTACTATTTCGGGACTAGGAATAAAACAAGTCTTTATTAGAGATGTTGGGATTTTAAGGTTTAACTAGTTATAGCTGGTATAAGTGATTAAGAGTTAAACGAGTGCAAAATCCTGAGCAAAAATGTTTAAATTTTAAAATAATACGTGAATTGTTTGGTTGATCTTTTTCCTTTTGAGTATAATAATGAATTATTATATATTAAAATATATATAAAGATCTTTAAGGGGGTCAATATTTTAAATTCAAATGGGAACCTATACTTTTTTGAATATCGTAATACTATAATCATTGAAAAAATGAATCTAAAAAATGATTGTGTATTAAATTCAATAAAATTAAATCTAACTGTGTGAAATTGTACAGCTACTTATTTTTATCTGTGGACCGTGGAATAAATTTCCTATTATTACTATTAAATGTACCAATGTTTTTTATCATTAAACTATCTATATATATATATATCTATCTAATATCTGTATATAACATAATTATTATATTATATTATAATATACGAGGTATGGCTATTAAATAACGAGACTGGTTACGAAAGTGTTTTATTATAAAAGTTATTCTACATTCAAATGCTCCCCTTCAATATACTCCCCTCCCCTCGCCACACACCGTTTCATTCGTTTCTTCCATTGCTCGAGGCAGTGCTGGAAGTCTGTTTTCGTAAGACCATTTAGGAGTTTCGCCGATTTTTGTTTCACCTCTTCCATCGACTCAAACCGGACTCCTTTCAAGGCAAACTTTATCTTCGGAAACAAGTAAAAGTCGCAGGGTGCCAAGTCGGGTGAGTAAGACGCGTGTTCGAGTACTGGAGTACCTTAAGCGGCCAAATAACACTTCACGCTTTATCCTGGTGCAAGATCCACGACTTGTTTTTCCACAATATCGACCGTTTCTTACGAACTCATTCGCGCAATGTTGCCAAAACTGTCAAATAGTAATGTTGGTTCACAGTTTGACCCTCTGGAACCCATTCAGTCATCACGATGCCGTTGATATCGAAGAAAACGGTTTTGAATTTGGATTACGACTGAATTGGATTCCGGTGCACTCTCGACCTTCAGAAAATAATTTATGCCACTCAAAAACACGCGCCCGAAATAGGAAATCCTCACTATAGGCTTCTTTTAACAACTTATAGCACTCAGTTGGAGTTTTTTTTAGTTTAACGAGAAAATTTTACGTTTATCCGTTGCTCATGTTTTTCGTCACGAGAAAAAAACAAGTTCGTTTCAAACCACTACTGCACAAATACTATAATAGTGACGAAAACGTGTTTTGGTACGTGCATAGATAAGATATCTAGATACCCAACGCATTACTCGTTTTTTTCACTACCCATCTGGGGCACCCTTTAGGCGAGCAGTCTCGTTATTTAATAGCCACATCTCGTATTATTATTATCATTTTTTATTCACTATTATTCTTTGTACTCAAAATAAATTAAAAATATAATATCTACCAATTTAATCATAGTACAGGTATAAAATACAATTGAGATTTAAGAAATATTCTTTGTAAAATAATAAATAACTGAATACTTTAACAATATAATATAACACTATTAAGTATGCCGAAATTTGAGCATACAAATGGTACAAGCTATGATTTGAAGGTAGAACCCTGAAGTAAGCCACCTCTTTGTTACTATAACTTCATGCATATACAAATACAAAATTTTATCCCCGGCATTAATTTGGGGGTATACAGTAAGGTTGTTCTGAGCTAAAAATAACACCTTCCTCCTTCAACATTATATGGTGAAATTCGTGTTTTAAAATTTAACTTAACTTTTATTACTTCAGTCCACCTAAATTAAATGAAATATATTCCCGAGTTATTTTGGTTTAAATGAAGCCGCTAAAAGTGTCCAAAAGTAGTGGGGTAAAGATAATAAATTTACAATAGATACAGAAAAATATCTCAGTTAAAATAATTAAACATTAAAATATTTTACAAATTTAATTTCGGGAGGCGGGGTGGTTGAACTCCTACAGTATACATGCCAAAAACAATATCATTGCATTGGGTATTTTAATCTGCTTTTACTTTTCTATTTACTTTTTTATAATCGACTACTCATTATTGTTTGTAGATATTTAATCAGTTTTATACCCTTTTTTTCAAAACACACGCGAAAATGGTAAGTACGGGGCTAGGGGTTGCCTAGGCATGGTCAAAATAATACGTGAGTTTACTCTTATAGAGGCAAGAGCATACAACTACAGAAATAACTAGTAGCTGATATTATAAATTATAAATATACGGGTGTTCTACAGACTGCTGTAATATAGTATAAAATCTCCGCAGATATACCTACAGACATTCTATTAAAAAATTATTTAACTTATTTACATATGAATGTAAACTCAAACCTATTATTATAAACCTATTTAATAATATTATTCAATCCGCCAACCGCGAATCTACATAATATACGAATATATTTCATTACATTTGTCTTTTTTTATATTTTCAGTGATATACGAACTCACAAAGTCACGCAGACACGACGATTTATGTATCTATGTAATAAAATAATACTATAAAGCGGTTAGAGGTTGAGTGAATCAGTAATATGTTTTCTTACACCGTTATTTATTACGTGTGCGTTTATTAACATCATACTACGCGGTGTAAACCGATATTTTTAGAGAGAAAAATAAATGAAAAATAACGAATAGGTGCCTATCGAAATTCCTATGCTTACGCGTGTAAAAAAACGTACACAGCTCTGTCTGTCTGTAATACAATGGTAATATATCATGCGCTTTTTGTAGATATGCGCAGATAAATACCGGTTTTCCAATATGATTTATATAACATAAGTTTTATAATAATAGTTAGAATACTCGTTTGATGTGCATATATATGGTATGTTTTTATAAATTATAACAAAGCCGCATAATATTAATAGACAGGGCCGGATTGAGGGGTCTGAGTGAGCTGTAGCCGAAGAGCCCCTATACATAATCATATCGAACAAAAGTATAGAAAATTATCCAAATGAACTTATTCAGTTTAAATAATTAAAGACGCCGTGGCAACAGCCAGATATTTCTATTCTAACAACATTCTAACAATTCATAAAATTGTTTAGGAGGAACAAAAAAAACCTTTTTGAAATTTTCTTAAGAATATTAAAAAAAAATATATATATTCTGCTGTTCCTTTGACAAAATCAATGATTTAAAATACACACTACGGAAAAGGTTAACACAGCGATAAAATATAATTATAAATTATTAATAATTAATAATAACTGAATCACCATCACGTGATTAATAATGTGTGATTTTCTCTTTTGTTACCATTTTAAAATAAAAAAAATCTTATTACCATTTTATATCATATTATTATGTATTTAATATTAAATATTTTTAATTTTTAATTATATACTTTTAGGTAATATATAAATAATAAATGAGTCCCTAAAAAGTCCGGTTCAGTCCAATCCAATCTAGTTTTAATATATTTTAACATGGTCCAGTTTCGTTTATTTATTTTAGATTCCGAGCATAATGAGCTATTGGTTTTACATTGCTGTTTATTTCTTATTTTTCTTTGTTCTAGTCTGTGGATACGTTTTTTCTTAGTAAACTTGCTCCGATTTTTACGTGTAGCAACTTTTATACTACTTGTGCTTTGAAAGATATACAATTTACAAAGAACTAAAGATGCCTAAAAATTTGCAAAGTACTTGACAAAGAAATTGAATAATTTTAAAACATTAAAAAAAAATTGAATAATTAATTAAATATTTAGTAATTCAGTTAAGAAAAAATAAACAGTCCAGTTCAGTCCTGTTACGTGGTTTATTCCATTAGTCAGGTTTAGTACTGATCTTAATTTGACTTCATGGTCCGGTTCGTGATATTAAAAACGCCGCACCGTGCAGAGCTCTTGTGTAGTAATGCAGACATCACCATTATTTAACAAATAGAACACACACATATGATGGGAAAATTGACATCGAAAATACATTGTTTCAAATTTTGTAAAAGTCGTTTTATAAAAATTTTTAAAGAGTCCTATCACTGGATAGCTGATCCACCCTAATCCACGTTTTTAAGTCAATTATAATATTTTTGTTCACCTTTTTGCTTATTGTAATTTGTTTTATTAATGTACTGATTGTAAATGTTATACATGTTTTTAGTAAACATAAAAAAAAAATTCAATACATATATACAAAAATAATTCTATTGATGTGCGTTGTATTAAAATAAGTTAAAATGTTGTTTATATACTATCGTCATTGCATTTAAATCTATCATACAATACAGATATTCCTAAAATGAATATTAAAATATAATTACACCGTGTTGTGTTGTTAAAATATTTTTCTCCGATGGGTTCAACCACGTACTATATTGTATTTTAGATTCTGAGCGGAGTGAAGAACCTTATGGTTTTACAAAGATGTTTATTTATTTTTTTTTTCCTGTGGACAACGTTTCTACAAGCAATTATACTCCGGTTTACAATAAGAGCATTTTTTCTAAAAGAAAATCTGACTGGAGAGGTACTTTAAAGAGGTAATTTTTCGATTTTCTCATAATTTGAAAAACAGGGAAAAACCAGGAAAAACGAGTAAATCGGTACAAAATTAAACAAATATTATTTAAGAAAACATAATATCATGCCTATTTAATTATTTTACCATTTTATGATGTATAATAATATATTGTTAACAAAGCATCACTATTAACTGAACTCCGCTCAGAATCGTTTTTACGTTAGCAACGGCTTATCGTTGCTTACAGGTATACCTACATCAAATTAACTATAACAGTTGTTACACCCATCCCTATTATTCTTTTTCAAATAGCTTTTCTCTTTTCTTTTTTTTGTACACGGAAAACGACGAGTGCGCATTACCATTAAAACACGACACGACGTAACACGATGCTATATGACTCTCTTGAATTACTTAACTGTGCCAAAAATACGCTTATTTTATAATATCTGTATTATCAATTTAAGTCACGTATAATAGCAACACACTTACACTAAAATGTTTATAGGCAATTTCTATTTGTATAATAAAATTTCAAATTATATTATGTTATTTATCAAATATAAATGGCATTTATAATTTATTATTATGTAGTAATTATAGGTACATCTCGGTTTTTTTTAAACAAATGATTGTTAGTAAAAAATTGTAATTTTTTATTAGTTTTATAAAAATCATCTAGCTACTTAAATTCATCGGAAAACCTTATCTTTGTATAGCCGCCGTGATCGTCTAGTGGTTAGGACCTTGCGTTGTGGCCGCAATAACCCAGGTTCGAATCCTGGTCACGGCACAAAAATTTTTGCAAAAAATCTTGACAAAACATGAAAGAAACTTTCATTGAATCCTCATGTCTTGTTTCTCACATATCGTTGTCATTCTAAATATTATTATTATTTTTTTTTTTCAAATATTTTATTATAATATTACCTATTTTGTAGGTTTTGTTAAAATATACGCATTGTATTTCAACGACTTGCTTTACGTTTTAAAATACATAGACAGACAAAAGTAAAAAACTCGATTGTTATATTATTATTATAGAGCATTATTTATAGGATAATATTAACATCAAATTATTTATATATAGATTTTAACTCTTAATTTAAACAACTTTGAATGAAAGATAATTTATATATAAAAAAAAAAAGAGTGTGGAATCTGGGTACGAGTGTGCAACTGTCATAATCGGGAAGATGGGAAATGAGAAGTTAGAATGCATAACATTATTTAATGTATATCTGAAAGCAATGATTGTTAATGAAAAACGGTTCGGAACGAAGTTTGGTTATACATGTTTTGAAATGTTGTAAATTTGTAATATTTTCGTAAAAATAGATTTATAGCTCCTATACAAATATAAAAAAAATACTACATAACACTAGGTTTTTTTTTTTTTATTACCAATACGACTTATAATGCACCTCCTGTTGAATTTGCAGATATTTCCGTTTAGTGTAACAATTTTATCCACAGAGTATCTACTAAATAAAAATTAGATAGAATACTCGTAAAATTAAAATGTCTACAAATAGCTCAAATGTTTTAAAGATTTTAGCAGTTGGAGTAAGATTTCTGATAAAAAATTTGTTAACAGATAGACACAATGACATGCATACAAAGAAAAAACACGTACCATGGTCAAACATAAAACCAATACATTACTCCCTAATCACTAAAATCTAAAATGATTGATACCTACGTGTACTGAATAGCTATAAGGTCGATAATTTGGATCGATTTTCCATTTCATAATATTTTTTACTGATTATAGTCTTATATTAATTAATATAAATAATGTTGTTATACGAACGTATTTGAAATAAAATAATTTATATTTTTGTTTTGTTTTGTTTTGTTTTTTTTTTTTTTTGCAGTACAATACAAAGTGAATTGTAACGATGACTACATGTCGGTTGACATTAAAAAAACCGACGACATAAAACATATTTATTTAAATCAAATGAAATTTTATCCAGGTAAAATAAATTTAATAATAATTTAATAATTTATTTTATTGTATTGTATTTTTATTGTTATTGGTATGATATATTTCAAAAAAAAAATTGTTTAGTATTTTTTTATTAGTTTTGATCTGGTATAAGTCTATTTTGAAAAAATGTTGGTCTAATTATCAAAATATCAGGTTAATATAAGGAAATTATGTGGGGAATTAAAAGATACCAACATAAAAAACAAAATAATTTACAAGCACTGTTATTGAATCTTAATGTTAAATAATTTCTTCTTTGATATTTTTGAAAATAAATTTCATTTAAAAAAAAAATTTACCTCAGAAAAATGATTTTTTTGAAAAAATGTAATTTTCATTTGTTTTTATTTTTTACACTCACCATTATTATAGAACTCGCTTGCCAGCCGGCTTACAAAAAAAACCATATTCAGTTCAAACTGTCCTTGTTGGACGTGTTCAAATGCGGGGTGACGAAAGTGGTTAACCAGGGAACCGTAAGTGTCCAACAATTGAAAGACAATTGCGTAACGAAAATCCGAAAAACATATTTATAAACTTGTATTATTATTGTAGGGTATGGTCACGTACTATCATCAAATAGTCATTGAAAAAGACGGCGGCCGCGCCAACGAAGAGCTCAAGTCTCTGCTGAACGTCAAGTGTTGGTTTTCCGGAAACAAAAATCACACGGTAGCTAAGAGGAACGTGCTTCCTGCCGGGTTTCAAGAACCAGAGTGAGTAATTGTTTTCCAAATACTATAATAAACCGATTACACATTAGAGACCACATAATACTAGTCTATCAAGTATTCGCGGCGAGTCTTGAAAAACGTGACGTTGAAAAATAAAAATAAATGATAATGTCATAATAATTATTACTTAACTAAAAAACACCGACACCGGACAGTTTTTAAATATGTAAAGGCCGGACCGGACCATCCGAGACCAGATTAAACCAAATAGGCCAATAGAGTCATTATTATTTATTATTAATTATTCATTTGTATGTTAACACGACACTAAGAGTTTACTGTACTTTACAATATGAATACTATTTATAAAGTATTGTTATTTTTGTGATTGTTCAACGAAGAACAAACCGGCCCTAATGAATAATATTTAATATTAAATTAAAATAATATAATAAAATGATATTGTGGTAAAATGATATCAATATAATAAATAAAGCAAATCGCACACTGCCAATTACGCGATAGTTATTCAGTAAACTTAAAAATAACAACAAATTTTGTGATTTATTTCAAACTGTTTTTATATTTATTTAGATGTTTTATTATATTAAATAATATATTGAAATAATTAACAATGAAATATCTACAACTTTTCATTTGATTTATAAATAGGTATAATTGTTTAATTTAATAATTAAAATAGCAATGGACAACACTACTGATTGTGATCAAGGTATAGAAGATAGTTTGTATTAAGTAATAAGTACACTTAAATCATTGAATCAGTATTCAAATTTGCTTTAGAATTTTACGTCCCTTTATAGGCGTTCGGAGGAGAGTGCAAGACAGGACATCTGCCCCTCTCACTAGACTTTAAAATTTCAATTATAATTTTAATAATTAATTAATATAATTTAATTTGTAATTTTTTTTGGTGTTTGATTTTATTATGTCTCTCCCTGATAAATTTCCTGCGAACTTCCGTGCGCCCCTTCCAATTTTTTTTCATACACTGAATAAAGTATAGGTAAGTATTTTATACTTATTGATATTACTCCAGAATAGAGTATAAATAGATATAATACCACAGAACCATGGTGCAATTTTAAATGCGTGAGATAATAATACGACTTGGACTAGAAAATGAAAAATTGTTTTTTTTTTTTAAATGCTTTCTTATAGTAATAGTGCGCCTATTCTTTGTTGTGCTTCTATGTCAATCCAACTATACGTGTTTCACACAATATAGATTCTTCTCGGCGGAGGAAAGGTTTTGACGACCATCTCTCTCATACAATATTATAGAATATTGTATCCATATTTATTTGTATAAACAGGGACCTGGAGATCACCACCTCACTAACAAAGACCGCTCCGGTACCCGTGCTCAAGATGGGCGTGCGTCAAGGTGATCATATCGTCAACGGTGAACTCAACGTCAATCCGGGCACCCCGCTCCAAATGGAAATATCTCTGGACAATACGAGCGCGCCGATTTACGGGCTGCTAGTTAACTACATGTACGTGACCGACACTAAAGCGCAAGAGGAGATTATCATATTCAAAGGGTGAGTTAACGAGTATTTCTATATTATAATATACATATTAGAGGTGGCTAAACTTTTTTGTTAGAGATCTACTAAGAAGGTATTTTTCTTTTGAGAATCGGCTTAATGAATAACTATCAAAATAGGTATTAATAATATACATAAACGTTTAAATAACACAACTAAAATATGTAGTTAAATAATGTTTTTATGACATTTTTATAAAGATTCTCTAATATAATATTATAAATAAAATTGCCAGTATAAACACTTTATACCTGTAATACTTGATAGACTGATAACAAAATAATAATCCATTAGAGGATTTAAAGCGGTTATTTTCTGTTTTTGTTTTACACGCGTGAAATATAGGAAGTGAAATTGGGTGAAGCAATACGAATTCTGAAAAAAGATTTGAATTTCGACTTTCCTACATTTTTTATTTTATCCCCTTAATTCATAAAAAACTTAGAAAAATCGGAAAATTTAAAATGTATTATTTATAGTTTTGTTTTGTTGGTTTTTTTTTTTTTAATTTAGCTGAAATATTTGTAAAGGCTTAAAATTTGGACAGAAAACTTATATTTACATTTTCTAGATACCGTACAATTTTCAAAACATTTTAGCTATTTTTGAGTTATTTACATTGGACATTTGAATTTTGCGAGTTTATTACGTAATTTTTACTTAATAGGTACTCTGTGGATAAAGTTGTTTGACCAAACAGAAACACTTTAGAACTTTCATTATAAGTCGTACTTTTAAAAGCGAACTCGGCTCAGAACAATTTTCGTTAGCAATTATTAATCGTCGAGTACATTAAATTCCCCTTTGTATCCTACCTTCTCAATTTCTTACCTTCAAAAAGAAATCTAATCGGCATAAATTCACTATATTCTATTTGTACATTGAAGAAATATATCTTATGAGAAAGTCAGTAAAATCCCTCCTAAGTTAAAAAACATGCACCTACAATATATTAGTGGAAACAATAAATTTAAATCGATTTTGTATTCCTTATATTACAATGATTGTTTTTGTGATTGTTTTTTTTTTTTTTTTACAGATGTTCATTGGATCCGTATTTGTTTGAAAACTTTAACACTGACGATGGTGACTCCTTGAAAGCGAAATTCAGAGCGTTTAAGTTCCCAGAGTCCTCGTACGTGCAATTCAAAGGCACCGTCAATGTTTGTTTAGACAAATGCAATGGGGTCAGTATTAATTATAATAAATCATGTTATTTTATTTTCGTTCGTCTTCATCTCTGATTTGTATATTAGGCATTAGTAAGGACTATTCCATATTACACCGATTATCTCGAGTATTCGAACCTCCACCAATTAATTCCACGCTCTTTCTAGATTCAGAGCGTATAGCGAGGGATCTGTTACTTTTACTAAGATGTGTATTGTTTTTTTTTTTTTTTGTAATTCGTATTTTTTCTGTCATTGAACTACTTTTCAACTAGAAATATTGTTCTAAAGTATCAAGTGAAGTATTTTCTCTAGTTTATGAATAAGGAGGCCATTTTTTGATTTTATATGAGTCTTTCAAAATAATTGGAAAACATCTGAAAGAAAATTATATATAAACGGTAAATATTTATGGCATACTGCGCCGCGACGTTGCAGATTTTATTATTTTAAAATTATACATACGATATTTTCTAGTAAAATTATTGCTTGAATAGAAAAACTGCAAGGTCTTATTAGTTGAATTTTTTAACTAATTGATGACCAAGAAAGTTGTTTTTTATTTTCTTTTAAAATGATTGAGTAAAACCGAAAAATACGTAGAAAGTACGGAAAAATGTACGAAAATAATTATTTTATTATTTTAAATTTTGTTTTTTTAATGTAATTTAGTTTAAAATATTCGTAGAGACTTGACATTTTTAAAGCAAATAGATTTACATATTTACTTATGTTTGCATTTTCTAAACATGGTAAAATTTTCAAAACATTTGAGCCATTTTTAATCTATTTATAGACATTTTTTTACGTATTATTTATTTGGTAGTGTGAGACAATTTAAATTTGCTCGTCACTAGCTTATCTATGACCACCTATCATAAGAAACGACAAATGGAGTTATGTCAGATCCAGTGGCGTCGAACTTTTCTTAAACTACTGGGGTAAACCCTGTTGAGGATAATACCAACCCTCTCACCCAAGCCGGATTAAGGGGGTCGGTCTCTGAGTCCACCTCTTTTCACGAAATATTTTTTCTAATTATAAAATTATTTTATTGGTAAAATACTAAATATTTAAATATTTAAATGTAATATATGTATATAAATGATCGTAAATTCATCTCACGAAGTATTATCAAATGATAAATAAATAATATTATAAATATCAAGATTTTAGATAGATATCTTAAATCATGATAGGTACATATTATTACATTGATATTTGAATATTTAATAACGTGTATACATTAAAATGAAAGTTTTGAACATAATTATGGATAATATAGATGATCTTTATTAAATGGTATATTATTAGTAAATATTATGATTGTGAACCACGAACTAATAAAACGTATAGGACTGGAAACGACACGATCGACGAAGTGTGGGAAATAGGTTCACAATTGTTTTGAAAATAGCCCACTGTATCTACTTATAGATTAATACCAGCACAAACAAAAATCTAAGTTTTAAATCATTAGTAACCAATGCACTGTGATTTTATATGATAATTTTTTTTTCCTTTATATATTTTATTTCTCAATTTATATACAAAATATTGTAATACATTACATTGATTTGAAATAAAATCATCTGCCTTCGATAAGCAACGCTTTTGTTGAGATTTCAATGTTTCATAATATATATATATATATATATATATGTATAATTAATACGATTTATAGATATATAAACAAATAAAAACAAAACAAGACATAGATATAAACATTAATAGATACACATTTAAACTAGAGACATGAATAATCAATTTATAACCGATAATTTAGCATTAGAAAATTTACTGATAATATTTATTTTTATAATAACTGGCATAAAATTAAAACAAGTAGGACCGAGGTAATCTACGCATTTTTGACCAAATGATATTCTGAAATATATAACTTTGACTATAAGCTATATTTTCTCTTTTATCTGAGATTTCATTTAAATTAATCCAGTTATTCAAATTTTTTACCACCTATAGAATGGAAATTTACTCCTTATTACTCCTGTCTTTATTTTGGGGTTATTATCCTTACCATTTCTGATAAATGTATGATCTAAATAAGAGTGCCTCATCCCTGTTGGAGTCCTAGTGTACATATTAATAAATGACTTTGCAAATTATAATATTATATATTCATTAATTGATTAGCCTTGTTAATTTTTTAGATGCGGAGTTTATTTATTATTTTTAAATTCTGAGTTGAGTGAAGAAGATTATGGTTTTAAAAATATGGTTATTTATTTTTTTTTCCTGTGGACAACTTTTCTACAAGCAATTATGCTCCGATTTACAATCATAGCATTTCTTCTAAAAGAAAATCTGACTGGTGGGAGGGGTACTTTAAAGAAGTCATTTTTTTATTTTCTAAAGAGTTTCAGTAAATGTGGAAAACAGTGAAAAATCATTGGAAAACGGGGAAAACGTAAAAAAATGAAAAATTGGTACATTAAACAAATATTAATAAAGAAAATATACAATACCTATTAAATTATTTACCATAATACGACACATATTATATTGTTACAAAACATCACTATCAATTTAACTCCTCTCAGAATCGTTTTTTTGTTAGCAATGGTTTATTGTTGCTTACAGGTATCAGGTGATTCATTTAAGTGGGAACACACGACTATCTCGGAAAGTATTAACTTTTTCCGAAATTTGTTTTCTAGAACATTTAAGAAAGAAGCTGCTCTACAATTTTATATTTATTTTTTTTTTTTTTACCCTTATTTTTGGGGGTAAAATCACTACCTACTTTTAATTTTGAAATGGCAACCTGTATTTAAAAGTCCATAAATAGATAAAATATTAGTTAAAATCAATTTTAGTGTTGACATTTTTGATTTCCACCGATCCATTAACGAGATATTCCAATTTTAAGTTTGGGTCGGATGAGAGTAGCGGAGAGTCATTTGTGTGGCGGTACTTGTTCTAAAAAACGTTATAGAAAATAAATTCCGAAAAAGTTAATACTTTCCTAGATAATAAGTATACCCACTTAAATGAATCACTCGGTATACATTAAATTACTTATAAAACAGTGGTTGTACCCGTCTTTGACCATAAATACCATTGATTATATTTTAAATGCAATCTTTGTTTTTATTGTAATTAATTTATTGCAATAAATAAATGCGAAAACATATAAGTAGATTATAGTTTCGGTTATTGTAGATTATACAATCGTACAAATGTTTTTAGATATTAATAATTTACCTACATAAACTCTCCACACCTACCATTAACGCAGGCTCTGTTTTTAACTTCCCACCTACAACAGTGGCACACGCATAAGCAGTATCAACACTTTTTTTTGTAAAATATTAAACAATAACTCATTTCATTTTTACACGTTTCTTTTTTGGATCGAAGAAAAGGTGTACTTTAGATCGCTCTTTATTGTAAAGCAGCTTGAGAACAATTTATTGCACCGTCTTCATCAGTGATAGTGTATACATGATTAGGTTATATATATATAGAATAATAAATTAATAATAAATATTACGTGTTTCTAGTTTCCACAACGGTTATTAATTGTTTGCTTAAATTTTATGCAGGTGGACTGCAGCAATGGCAAAGTTGGCTTTGGAAGGAAGAGGCGAGAAATCAGTGGCAATCCGCCGAACACGAACAAGGTATTTGAAGTGTCCATGACCACGTTCATCAAAGTGGAATACAAAAACGAAATGGCCCGAGATAAAGGTAATATCACGAAGGTTAACCCTAGTATGTTTTTAATCGAATGTAATCGGGGGTTAAACAAATTAAGGCGGCTGCGTTGCGTTGTTTGATTTTTAAACCTGGCGTACCATGATGGCTGTTGATCGGGGAATATGGTAAGACTACATAACATTTTTCATAGGGCAACGATCTTTAAAGAGGAATATATTCACGTTGTTTTTTTGTTTTCAAAAATATTTACGAAAAAAATAGATATTGTTTGATAATATCTAAGAAAAATGTGTATTGACATAAACGGCACCTGAATCGATTAAATATCCATAAACGTAAATCTTAAAAAAAAAAGAAAAAACCGTAGACAGATCAAGTCCAATTTATGTTTTATTATTTTTCCCAAATGTTCATAGTAAAATTAGAAATCGACTCGACGGACGACCAAACAAACCAAACAAATTCGAATGCACTGGACACCAGGCCACAAAACGCTAATATTCGGGGTGCCACAGTCGACGGCAACGATTACATGCGAATGGACACAGAAGAAATCCGGGAAGAGCTCAAGTACATATTGCTGAAAACCAACTCAGGTCCCTATTCCCGGGAACCGTACACCGTCACCATCGTCGTTGGAGCAGCGTTGCTGTTGTTCACAGTTAACCTTCGTATCTGAAGGATTATTCCCTACCATCCCTTTAACCACTCTAACCTATTATTAAATATTAACTCTCTCTTACTTTTTTGTTTTTTTGTTTTTTTTTAATATCCCTCTAACCGTCAAAATATAATGTAAATAATATTTAATTATATTTATATTTAATTCAATTTATTATGAGTAATATTTTTAATATGATCTGCTCGTATACATTAATATAAGTATTAAGTTATTATTTTTGTTCTTATGAACTATCGTGGATTTGTTCTAATACCTACCTATTAGATACATTATTGATCTACTAATAACTTTTTTTTTTTTACATTATGTATAATTATATTATAATTTTTATCATTTTAGGTCTTTGTATTCGAATCTGTAACAATATTATTGATTATGAAGTTATATATTATATAATTATTATAAATTGATATATATATAATTATAATATTATGCCTACAACGTGGTGAATAATATAATTATATTATTACAATTAATATTTAATAAATATTTTAACTTAATAGGATTATTACTGTCTGAATGTTTCTTTAACATTTTATTAAGTGTGATTAAAAATTAATTATATATTTTGTATTTATAAAAACTGGGTTTTTTTCAACCCACAAAATATTTACACTGACACTTAAGCACTGAAGGCCATCCATATATTGAGAAAACGAAGATAAACGTCACTACTACATATTGATTACATATGTTAAATCTTGATTTTTAACGAAATAATTTAGAAAATAGTAACAAAACACTTATAAATAAGACACTAATATTAAATTCAATATTAACGATATTGAAGATCATAGGAGGAACTAGATTTTTTTCATTAGACTAGGGAAATTTTCCCGATAAATTCGGACATATACTTAAATGGCAGAAACGAGGGGTGGAAAATATATTGTTACTTTTTTTTTTTCAAATCAATTTGTGTATTTGTATACATTTTTACATATCATTTTTTTTTTTTGTATGATTTTTTATTTAAAATTTAAAGTAATATTATCTTATTACTATTTATATAAATGTTTAAATCTCAATACCTTCAATTAAATTATTTCTCTTTGTATAAAGTCGAAAGTCGATCTCTTTAATTCAACATAATTTCGTATGCGCTGTTTTATTTTATAGTATTCTGTTCTATCTTAAATATTATGTAATTTAAATACTATTAAAATTCTAACAACAAAATACAACCTTTAATTGATACGTTCTAATCTTATATATAAAATTATCGTGTCACAATGTTCGTTCCCATACTCCTCCGAGACGGCTTGATCGATTCTCATGAAATTTTATATGCATATTCAGTAGGTCTGAGAATCGGCTACTATCTAAGTTTGTATGCTCTGCGATAAGAGGTTCCGGAGTTATGGCCTCTTAAGTCAAAGTATACTAGCACGCACGATATTCAACAATTATTATTTTGCCATGGAGAGATAATATACACTCTATGTGGTTATTTTTTATTATTGGTTTCCGTGGCACCCGCGTGTCAATAACAATTGAGAACGGCTGGGCCGATTTGGCTAATTTTGCTAACCTAACCTAACCTATGTACGTGTGTTTTGCACATATTTAAATGCCAACAAAACGCATAGGGGCTGATTTGAACCGTAATACAAGTAAATCTCGAAGCTTGCGAAATAGAAGATCCGAAAGAACCGAAGAACAAATCCAGCAACAAAATACTGATGCACGTGTCAGAATGGCGCAGTTGCGTCAAGAAGAGTCAGAAGACACACGAGCTGAACGCAATGAAGTAATAAGATTAGAACAACGACAATCACGCCGTTTCACAGTCAATAGACGCAGAACAAATGACCAACAACGACANGTCTAGCATTCCAGTATGAGCCCGATATTGAATATTATGCTCATTCAAAAGTGGTAATTGGTGCTATGGACAAGGAATGTCCGCATTGTCATGCTCTGAAATCCAAAAATGAGCCAGCTGGGGTGTGTTGCGCGTCAGGAAAAGTGCAACTACTTGAAATTGAAACACCATCTGAACCATTGAACGGTTTACTTATCTTTATGTAAAAAAATTGAATGTTTGTATGTCTCTTATCTGGCTTCTTAAACCGTTCATCCGATCGCCATGAAACTTTGGGAAATTGTTGAGTATACTCCCGTGAAGGTTTATGGCACAGTACATCTATGCAATTCTTCGATAGCTCAACTATCACCCACGAAAACCGGGTTTTAGATACTTTTCGTACGAATATAAAATACATTTTTTTTATTTATGGGTTACTTTGGTAATATACGGATGCGAAAATAAATATTATTACTATCGGATAATTTTCATTGCTTAGCAACCATATTGCTAATTTATATAAGTATGGAAATTAAAATAAAGAAAATGCATTTTTTAAACATTTAAGGGTAACAACGGTTAACCGCAGTAATAGTGACAGAGATTGAAACAAGTAATCTAGGGTAAAATCGTTTTTATTAAACATTTATTTGGCACGAGCAACGCCGGGCGGGACAACTTGTATTATATAAGAAAGAGAATATTATAAAAATATTTTAGAATAATTATAAAAAAAGACGATAATGATCATCGTAATATAAGAACATTTTTTTTAAATTCTTTAACTTCTTCATCGATGTCGATATTATTTTATGGATGTATATTATACATATTAATATATTATGTCACTGGGTTATAACTTATAGTAGTACGAAGCTTAGTTTTATTATGTGTACCTGTAAGCTGGGAAAATACTTTTTCACATGAAGCACAGAATTTATAAGAAACCCTTCCGCTTTTGAACAAGAGTTTAAATAGAGAATAAAATTCTGGAAATTTCGATATGCATAACACTAAAAACAGATTTACCAATTATGAGTTATAACAGTTTAAAGTTTGGACCGGAGTAGTAAGGATCGGTAATAAATGCCTATATTTTAAATATAAAATGTCATTGAAACGTTGCGTA